TAAAAAGCAAGACCTTTCTTAAAAAATTAAATAAAGATAAGCAAGCAGAACATCTTAGGATATTCACACCAGACTCCAGACCCTCCCCTGAGCCTCCCAATCCTTCACCACTCTGGTCTTCCACATTCCCCTTCACAGTGCCTCACCAGGCCACCATTATTGCTTGGGCAGTCTTTGTTTCTCGTCCCTCCTGCCGACTAAGGTTCCTTGCTGCTCTCACCACTTCTTCCTTTGTTCGGAAATCTCCCAGAGACCACTCATGTACAGGGCTCTCCCCATATTGTACCAGTCCCACCTGAGAATAAAATGTGCATCAAATGGAATATAATTGGAGTAGGGAGAGGAAGGACAAGAAAGGATGCGAGAGAGGAGAGATGAACACTTAGATACTACTGAAGATCTCTTCACTTCCAAGCCCATCCATAATGCTTTATCTTACCTGTATCTGTTCTGGATCAATAAACAACCTCCCTACCAGCCTCCGTAGGAAAGTCTGAACTTCAGACCAGGGGTATATGCTGTTGGAGCCATCCAGGACGATGACAACATCCATGTATGTGGGGCAGCCTAGGAGTAGCAGTACGGGGATGGGGAAGAAAGAGGCAGAAGGCTATCAGCCTAGGATCAACAAAGAAGAGCCCCCAGGAGGAAACATTCAGTTCAAACATTTACTAATCACTTCTTCATGCAAGGAAAATACTGGGCCAGGCCTTGCACAAGTGCAGAAATGAACAAAGGAGTAAGATATGCAACTTACTAAAAAAAAAAAAGAAGGAAATAAGTGCTAGGTTGAAACATAGCACCATTCTGGGCTGTAGGAGAATGAAGATGGTCCATTTTTTCCAGTGCCGGGCTGGAACCCAGGGCTCTGTTCATGCCAGGTATGTGCTCTACCGCTAGGCTATACACACAGCTCTAAAGGGTCTATTCTGATGATGGAGAATAGAATGAGGTAGAAAATAAGGTACTGAAGGGCTGGGATTGTAGTTCAGTGGTAGAGTGCTTGCCTGGCATGTGCAAAGCCCTGGACTTAGTCCCTGGCTCTGCAAAAAGAAGATATTGAAGACTAAAGATGTTTAAGAAGAGAAGGTAAGGAAAGGCATTTAGGCAAAGAGCCCTGGAAACGAAGGGAAACAGGGGTATGAAAATGACAACACAGGAGAATGGTGAAGTTAAGGCTGTGCCCAAGACACAAGGTGTTTAGAGGGGTAAGTGAGCTTTTAAAGTTGGTCAGACCAGATTATGGGGCCTTGGTGCCTTCTTAAGGGATCTGACTTCTAAACTTTGGAGACATGGAGTGTTTGCAGGCAAATTATATAGCCTTGCAGATACCCACACAGGCCTCTGCCAGCCACCACACCATTTCCCCCTTAATCCCACCGCCCTCCCTTCTGGGAACTGAGCCCTCGGGCCTCACGTTGGGCAGTGGGCGCCAGGCTTCCTCGGGGCCGGAATGAAGCATCCACATGGGCACATATTCCAGAGCTGAAGACAGAGCTGCCACAAGCACGAGACCAGAGAGGGGCACAGGCCTGGGGATGGACGGGGAAATGCTTACTCCGGGCTTGGAGGGGCACCCCCTAAACACGCTCCCAGACAAAGGAGGCACGGAGACTACACCCTGAGATGCCCTACTTTGCTTTCTAGGGGTTTTAACTCCTCCCACCCCCACACAGAACAGTCTCCCTTACCACAGTGCTCTTTTCTCCACCACAGGCCCTCCAGAGACCCGGCCACCACCCTCTCCTCAGCTCACCAGGAACCCCCCATCGGCATCTGTCTGTAGTAGAGACATCCCCAGGTGCATATTCACAGCAGGATGAGATGAATTTCCCAGTTGATAATCACCTGGTTGGAAGAGGGTGGAAGAGATAAAGATCATGGAGCACAGATGGGATGCTTGAGTTGAGGGGTTTTTGGAAGAGAATGAGAATCAATCAGTATCAGGTTGGGGTGAAGAAATGGATGTATAAGGAGTAAAAGCCCCTAGAGTATAAAAGCCAGAGCTTAGGAGGGTGTCAGGCATCTTCTTACCCAAGTTGCTCTTGGCACATGGGGCACTGTGGGGGCTGTCTATTGGACAGCGATAAACATCCCCTCTGCGGTCATGGGAAGGCCCATCCCAGGGGGCGCCCACCAGCATCCTGTGAAGGGTGTGATAAAAGCACAGGGTGAGGGTGAACCTTGACAGAGGCCAGAAGGAAAGCACATGGAGGTGGCAACTTAAGAGCCCCAGCCACTTTCAAAAGAACAGGTGACCTTAAGGGGCCCAGCTATCTTGCCTCCCCCTTTTCAGCATGATCAGAGTCCCAATCCCCGGTTTCCTCCTCACCATCGCTGTCCACCCCCAACATGCTGTAAGACACTGTATCCAAATTCAGCCTCTGGCGGCCCTGTGAATAGGCGTGGGTGATACACGTCCAGGTTAAAGGGGGAGCAGGGACCTGGGGAGCCAAGGCCATGAGTTAGTATGAAACGGTCGGCTGATGGCTAGAAAGGCCCAGCCAGAGAAAGGACATAAGGGAGCAACCTAGTCTCAGTCTTTCTGCCTGCTTCTTCTTTTTTTATTTTTGGTTGGGGGATTGAACTCAGGTCCTTGCACTTGTGCAGCAGGCGGCGAAACCACTGAGCTAAATCCCTGCTTCTTATTCTTCCGCTCTCCCGTTCCCAGAGCCCCACCCGGGATGACCCCCTTCCTGTGTGTGGGTCCTGTGGCCCCTGCCACACTGATGCACAGCTGTATTTCCATTCCCACTCCTGAAATCTCATTCACAGACATGTCTGGAAAGGTCAAGTTACCCTTTTCCACGTCATTCCTCCTACATATCCTCCTCTCCAAACTGTGGGGGTGGAAAGGGAAAGGGCCTTTCTGCAGCCCCAGAATAACCATTCACTCTGATCTCCCCCCAAACCCAGGACCATAAGAAGAGCACGAGGATGCTAAGAAGCGCTGAGTGTCTGGCTCTCGCCTCTAATCCTGCTTGACTCCCGGTGACATTGTCACACTCTCACTCTTTTTCCAATGTCTAGGTCTCTGGTTGGTTCCTGCCCTGGAAACCTCAGTGGTAATTAACAGGGTGGGGCTGCCCGCCTGTCCACAACATAGCTTGCCGTCCATGCTTGCCAAGGGTCTCATCTCTTCCATCATTTCCCACAATCTGCTTTCTTTTTTTTTTTTAATCATCTCACTTACCTTCCCAAGTTCAAGGGTAAGCCCCTTGCATACCTCCATGGTTTCCTCAAACTTTGGCCCCCTCTAAAGGCACCCAACCCCGTCTTGGCTGATTCTTCCCTTCTGACCCCAATTCCCTTAAAATCAGAACTGGTATTTTAGGAAACAAAGATTATAGGGCACTGGCAAGGAAAAATTCGAGGCCTTTTGTCCCTCCCATGGTTCCCTTCCCAAATGTGTCTTGTTCCTTACTTTCAAGCAACTCCCTCTCAGGCTTCCGCACCAACAACCATACCAATGGCTACAGCTCTAACCTAAACGGCTCACTTTCAGAAAAATGAAAGAGCTGCATGGGAGCCTTTCTGCATCCAGGAAACTAGCAGGGCTGTACGAGCAAGAACTGTAGCTCACTGGTAAGTTAAACCCAGAGTTCTGACCACACACACAGTAAGGCGGTTATGCCTCAAGCCCTGGGACTCCCAAGGGCAGGGAGAAGAGAGTGAGGTTATAGGAATCAGACTGGCCACATGGAAGGTCACACCATGTTTCTTTTCTGTCTCCTCATTGTTACCTGGTTTAGGACAAAGATTTTAGATTAGGTACAAATCTTACACAAGGCCCTACACAGCTTCAGCCCCTGCCAGTCTTCATATCGAAGTAGTCATATGTGGGAACATAAGACTATGTTCATACATGTGAAATGTATTAACTGCCTACCCAAAGTCCCCCCAAATTTTAACCTCAGTAGTGCCAACTCCAAACAATCCAGGTATCTTCCATTCCCCCCAAAACCAACAAGTTAACTTCCCTCACCTGTCAGACACACCAAGGGCAAGAACAGGTGAGGGAAGAGGGGACGCTCCATGCCTGGTCCTTCTGTTCTGTGTAAGAAGTCTTCTGTGTCTCTATTCCTTTCCTTTTCTGTTTTCTTTACTTTCCCTCCTATCCTGCCCCCTCCCACTGGCAGCTAAAAATAAAGTTGGAAGGAATGGGAGGAGTGCTGGTGGGAACTGTGGGGAGCCCCAGACCGAGGAGAGAAGGACCGAGGGATTTTGTCTATTTGTCTGCCTCGGTGCTGCCCCCTGGAGGCCTCGCCTCACTATCCAAAGAGGACATACCTTTGGACTTTTTTTTTTTTTTTTTTTTCCTGAGACAGGGTCTCCTTACACAGTTCAGGCTGGCCTCGAACACTGGGCAATCCTCCTGCCTTAGCCTCCCGAGTGCTAGGATTACAGGTGTGTGCCACCATGCTTGGCCATTTGACCACTTCTGCTGTTTCTCTTTTCTCCTTTGTGGCCTGGTCAACAATGTTTTCCTCAGATTTGGAACAGAAAGTAGGAGTGGGAGAGAGATTCTTTTATACTTCCTAGCCTTATTTATCTCACCCTGGGATATGGAAAATGAAAGAGCTGATGGCAGTGGTCTTATCCCCCAGTGTGCAAACCAAGCCTCAACAGCCTCGGTCCACTTGGCTCTGCTCCTGGCTCTTGGTCTAGGCTGCTTTGTGGCGTGACAACTTTGGGAGGAACTATATCTATCAGTTGGTGTGAGGTGTGTCTTGTGGAGCCTATTTAATTTTATACTTTAGCATCAGACCACCCCTCTCCCAATGCAACAAGGCCATACATTTCTTAATTCTCCAAGGAACTGGGGGTCATGAAGCTTCTTAGCTTTTAGTATGTTCACCTCTAGTATTTTTCCCTGTGCACTATAGGTGCCCTACAGAACTCTGTGGGTGATGTTAGCAGACAATCCCACGAAAAACCCAGATCCCAAGGACAGGAATAGGGACCTCAAATGATGAGAACGTGAGAGACCAGACCAAATGTCAACGAGCACACTGATCTTTAATTTGCTCTCCATGGTGGACATGGGCCACAGACATTTACAGAGAATCATTGTACAATATTTACAGCAGGATGCTAGACACAGCATCAGTCTGGATAGGTAAAGTAAGAACCAGCGAGGGAACAAAGCTCTGAAATCAAAGTGCAAGCAGAAATCTGAAGGTGTGAGTACAGGGAAGGGTAAGGGCCAGGTCATGAGAGAGGCTGGTGAGGTAGATATGAGGATGGAAGAGAAAGCACTAAACAACCTGTGGTGCAGAGATGTGAAGAAAGAGTTTACTGGGACATAAGTCTTAAAAAGTGTGATTTATGCCAGGCATGGTGGCACACATTTGTAATCTCAGCACTCAGGAGGCTGAGGCAGGATCACTTGAGTTTGAGGCCAGCCTGGGCTGCATAGTGAGACCCTGACTAAAACAAACAAACAAAAAGTTATGGTTTGGAGTTCGAAGGAGAAAAAAATTTGCCACAAGCATCCTCTGGGAAAAAAAAAGGAGGCAGAGTTTTACAAACCAAACCTGATACCTTCCCTCCCAGAAAGTATCTCTGTTCAAATTCCTGGACAGGGGACTGAGGAGGTAAAGTAAAAAGTATCTTAAATAGACATGGGATGATGAAATAAAGAGTCAAGAGAGATTCAGACAATGAGAGGAAAAGAACAAACGCTTAGCCATATCTGGGCATCAGAATCATTCTATTGACAAGTCATCTGTCTTTGCCTCATCTTCCCCAAACTCTTCCATAAACCCCTAAATTCTGGATTTTAACTACTCAAGAAGCAGAATTAGAATGAGGCTAGTACATGGGGGATGATCTAAGATTCCACTTCACCAGTTCAGGTCCCCTCCTTATCCTGTACCAGACTGTCATGGCTTGAGTCGTAACCAGGGATAGATTAGGGTGAGAATTGACAGGATGGAGGACACAAGGCCACAAAGCCCCACAATTCCAGGGCCACAGCGCCAGAGGCCTAATTTGTCCAGTGGTATGAAGAGATCACAGGCATTTCTGACTACATCTAGCAGAAGTGGGGGATGACCTCGAAGGACCCGAGCCAGGAGCAAGACTTGGAGCCGAAGCTTCAGAGCCAGGTGAGGCAGGCCTCTTCCTGGAGTTCCTGGTCCCCCAGGTCCCCCAGTTTCAAGTCCTCCTGGGACTCCTCCTGCAGAACCCTTCAGTCGCCGGTTACAAGCTGAAGACTCTTGTTCCATGAGTAAGCGAATTTCATAAGCATCCCGGCTCAAATTCATGATGAGGGAAAAGAGATAGTACCTAAGATACACAGAGCAGAAGGGTTAGACAGGGCATATAAACCTACTTCACATATCCAACATAATACTTAAGATTTTTTCCCACGTAGTGCAAAGAGATCATATTAAAACAGCACAAGTGAAAGTCCTCCCTTGCTAGGTGTTATGGTTTATATCTAGATGTCCCCTCAAAGTCATAGGTGAGCTCTTTGGAATGTGATTGGACTATGGGCGCTTACGGCTGACTTGTTAGGAAGTCAGGTGTAGTCAGAAGAGGTGGTCACTGGGGGTATGGCTTGGAAGAGTTCATCTCCTCCCCAGCTCCTTCCTCCTCACTCTGCTTCCTGTCTGCCATGAGGTGAGCAGCTGTTCTTCCATCATGTCCCTGTACCATAGCATCCTGCCTTGGAGCCAAATGACTGTGGACTGAACCTGAACCTAAATAAACTTCTCCTCCTTTAATTTGTAGATATTAGGTATTCTGTCTCAGTGATGAAGAAAATAAGTCACCAGGCATGATGGCACATGCCTTTATAATTCTAGCACTGAGGAGACAGAGGCAGAAGGATTGCAAGTTCAAGGCCAACCTGGGCTCCATAGTGAGACCCTGTCTCCAAAAACCAAAGGGGGCAAAAATGTCCTTTCTTGAATACATTATACTAGGTGAAATAAGCCAGGCACAGACAAATGCCACATGATCTTATATGTAGGCTTTAAACAACCCAATTCATAAAAGCACAGAATAGAAGTGATGATTGCCAGAGACTGGGGGTAGGAGAAAGGGGAAGATGTTGGTCAAAGGTTTTAGATATGCAAAAATGCATAAATCCTGGAGATCTAACATACACCATGGTGACTGTAGTTAACAATACTGTATGGTACACTTGAAATTTGATAAAGTAGATCTTAAGTATTCCCACCAGTAAAAAAAAAAGGCAACTGTGAGGTTATGAACTTGTTAACTAGCTTGTTGTGTTGATCATCTCACAATGGTACATATATAAAATGTTACACTGTACTCCATAAATATTTCCAATTTCTAATTGTCAATTATACCCCAGTAAGAATGAAAAAAAATCCTCCCACCTTTCTGTAACTAATATGTGTGCACCTTAAGATCGTGGCTTAAAATTCATAAGCATCATGAAATCTTCCAAGATTAACTTCAGAGTTTACTTTTGAGGCACTCCCTTAGCACATACCAGATTCAACCTGACCCATAATGCAAACCTGTTTTTGAAAGAACACATTTCAGCTGTTCCAAAGACTCATACAGATTACAAATCATCTAAATTCAGTTCTTTTTTGTTTGTTGGTTGGCTGGTTGCTTGGTTTTTTTAAAAACAGGGTCTCCTTAGTTCAGGGTCAGTTCAGGCTGGCCTTGAGCTCACTGTGTAGCCCAGGCTGGCCTCAAACTCATGGTGATTTTCCTGCCTCAGTCTCCCAAGTGCTGAGAGTACAGCGCCACCATGATTGGCTAAATTCACTTCTTTTGGGGGTTTTTTTTTTTTGGTACCGGGGATCAAACTCGGGTCCTTGCGCTTGCAAGGCAGGCGGTGGAACCATTGAGCTAAATCCCCAGCTAAATCCACTTCTTTAGGAAAAAAATTTTAAGAGACCCAGAGGTGTTAAGTAATTGCTAAATGAGTTACATTATAAATTCCTTAAATACAAAATCTGTGTTGCTTTCGGTGCTCAGGATCAAACCCAGGGCCTCACACGTCTCAAAAAGCTCTACCGCTAAGTGAAAACCCCAGCCTCGCCCCTTTGTTTGGTCCCAGGGACCAAACTTGGGACCTTGTGCTTGCGAGGCAGGCAGTGGCACCACTGAGCTAAATCCCTGGCCCCCCTATGTTTTGTGGGTTTTTTTGGTACCGGGGATCAAACTCGGGACCTTGCACTTGTGAGGCAGGCACTGGAACCACTGAGCTAAATCCCCGGCCCTATGTTTTTATTTTTAATTCACTCTTACAACAGTGGTTGATAATCAATAAATTGTCCTACCTCCAAAATATATCCTGAATCCAGTCACATTTCTCTATTGCTCTCCACCACCATAGTTTAAGCAACTATCACTTCTTGCCTGGACTACTACTTTTGCCTTTAACTGGTCTCATTTTGCTTTTAACTAGCCCATTTTGCTCCCATCCCCAATAATTTAATTTCATGAAGGAACTACCACAAAATAAATCACATTACTACTCCTGTTTTGTTTTTTTTTACTGCTCCTGTTTTTAAAACTTACCAGGGTTCCCTTCCTATCACATTTAGAATAATACATAGAAACCTTAGACAGCCTTCCAGACTCAACATCATCTGGCCCCTAGCTCTCTGTGTCTTGTACCATTCCTTCTCTCAATCACTACGCCCAGACCATATTGGTTTCTCTCTACCTTTTGATCCCATCAAGCTTTTTCTTACCTTAGAGCATTTGCACTACCTAGTCCCTCTAATTGGAATCTTTTCCCTTTAAAACTTCACATGGCTGGCTCTTTTTCCTTCTTCAAATCTGAGCTTAAATGTCACTTCTTCAGAGAGGCCTTCCGTGAGCCCTCAATTTAAAACCATGAACTATTTACTGTCTACCATATGGCTTTGTTTCAATTTTCTGCACAGCACTTGCCACATCTGATACTTATTTATTGTCCCTTGTTGTTACAATGACAATTCCATAGGAACTTTAACCACTGTATCTCTGTGTCTAGACCAATGCCTACCACATAGGAAAAGCTCAATAAATATTTTTGAATAAAACGAATAAATATAGCATATGGACTTATCTGGGGAAGTTGCTTTTTCATCCCACTACAGCTATGCCACCATCTCTCAGCCCTCATACAGCATAAGCCATGTTATAGCTGTGACTCATCGAGAAAGATAAAGAGAAAAGGCAGAAAGAGAATTTGAAAAATGGTAATAAAATGAAAAAGTAAAAAGACAATCATAGGGAAACAAAAAATGAATACAAGTAATCTGTATGGTCATCCCTGGTATCGGAGGGGGGCTGTTTCTTGAATTCTTCTCTCCACAAATACCAAAATCTACAGATGCTCAACTCCTGCATATAAAATGGTGTAGTATTTTCATATAAGCAATGCACATCCTTTTATCTATTTTAAGTCATCTCTAGATTACTGGTAATACTTACATGATGTAAATGTTATGTGAATAGTTGTTAAATTGTTCAAGGAATAATGACAACAAAAGTCTATACATGCTCAATATAGAAGCAATTTTTTCTGAATATTTTCTGTATGTGGTTAACGTGCAGATGTGGAATTGGAAGGAAATTATAGGGCCAACTGTAATACCATTTTACTCCTAAATCATAGTCTTTTCCACTCCCTTAGTCCAAGCCAAGGTCTTCTCTTCCCATTAGGCCATCTCCTCTTGTGCTCCATTGCAATCTACTTTCTACATCATGTCACAGCAAGACAGATGTTCCTGTTTTTGTTCTTTGGGTTTTTTATTTTTTGGATTTTTTTTTGGCCATGCTAGTGTGGATTGAACCACAGCCCTTCTCATGCTAGGCAGGTACTCTACCACTGAGTAATATCCCCAGGACAAGACAGATGTTTTTCAAATATAATTTGAATTGGCCGGTGTGGTGGTGCATGCCTATAATCCCAGCACTCGGGAGGCTAAGGCAGGAGGATCACCACAAGTTCAAGGCCAGCCTGGGCTACATAGTGAGTTCAGGGCCAGCCTGAACTACAAAGGGAGGCGGTGACTCAAAAAAATTAAATTAAATTAAATTAAAAATAAAATAAAAAATAAAAAAATAAATATAATTTGAATTGTGTTATGTCCCTGGATAGAACCCTTCAATAATGTCTCATTGTATTTAGGATAAAATTTAAACAAAACAAACAAAAAAATCTTACCATCACCTAAAAGCCTCCATATAAATGATTTGGTCCCTGTCTTTCAAATTTGAATTTATGGCCCATCTCAATACCATCCATCACACTGGGTTTCTTTCTACTTCTCTAATTACCTGAAGCCTTTCCTGGTTCAAGGCCTTAGAATGTCCTCTATTCTATTTGGAAAGGTCTTATCTATTACTCTGTTTTGTCTACATCAGGTATGAACTAAAATATTACCTTCTCAAAGACTTCTTCCCTGGCCTTTCTATCTAAATTAGCTCCTCTTGTCATATTCTCTTATAATGACCTGTGCTTTTCCACAAATATATTTGAGTAGTTGTTTTAATATTTCATTCCCCCACTAGACTGGAAGCATCATGGGAAAAGACACCATATCTGCTTGGCTCTTTGCTTTATCTTCTGGCCCATATTAAGTACCTAATAAATGTTTATGGAAAAGCTGATTGAAATGGAGGTGGTCCTTGCAAAGAGTCCCAGCTACTTGAGAGGCTGAAGTAGGAGGATTGATTGAGCTCAAGAGTTTAGGACTAGCCTGGGCAACATACTGAGGCCCATCTCTCAAAATTTTTTTGAATGAATGAATGAATGAATAAGTAAGTAGTGAGGGGAATATTTGTGGTATAGATACAAGCAGAATTAAAGTAATAGCAGGTCTTGTCTTGCCCAATCTTATTCATCATGGTAGGGCATATGTCTTCCATCTGCCCCTATCATTACTCTGTGATAAATTAAAATCTAAATGAAGATTGGAAACCAAATGACTGCTTTAGTCATACAGAGTTGCTCCCTGGTCTTCATGGATATTGGTTCCAAGACCCTGATGTATACCCAAATCTTACCAAAATCCACAGATGGTTAAATCCTTTATATAAAATAATGTAATTGCTTATTACCTACATAGATCTTATTATATAGTTTAAATCATCTCTATATTATTTATAATACCTAACACAATGTAAATGCTATAAAGAGTTGTTTACTATATTAAGGAATAATGCAAAGGAAAAATGTCTGTAACATGTTCAACACAGACGCAATTTTCTCCCCTAATATTTTCAATCTGTGGTTGGCTGAATCCATGAATGTGGAACTTAGGAATATGGATGGCCAACTATATACTCTGGGAACAACGTGCGAGATCTTTCTCTCAAAAAGGCAAGCTATTGTGTATGGAGGCTACAGAAGTTCTTGTAGGATAAAAGGCTAACAAACCTGAAGCCGGGCCGGGGATTTAGCTCAGTGGTTCCAGCACCTGCCTCGCAAGCACAAGGTCCTGAGTTTGATCTCCGGTACCAAAAAAAAAACAACACACAAATCTGAAGCCAGGCACGTGGGCATGCCTGTAATCCCAGCACTCAGGAGATTGCTGTGAGTGTGAGTTCAAGGGCAGCCTGGGCTACACAGTGAGTGCAATGCCAGCAGCCTTACAAAGGTCTTACAAAGCAAGACCCTGTCCCCAAAAAAAGGATAACAAACCTGAATGAGCGCTGAGCCCACTTCTCTTGATCCACACAGGGAGCTAGTCCAGACTTTCCAGCCCATAGGACATTGTCACATGCGAAGTACAAGGCTCGATTGAGGTGACTAACCGTGATGCAGAATCTCAGGACAATATCGGATAGGTGCACAGCTCTTTTGGCTGACTCGAGAGCATCTGCTGAGTTGCCCAGGCGTAGAACTTGTGGATATTAACAAGAGAAAGGAGGGAATTGGAAGTAGAAAGGCAAAGAGCAAGATCCAAAAAAAGAGAAAGCAAGAAGGTGAAAGTGGAGCAAGTGTTAGTAACACGAAAACAAACAAAAAAAGTAGAAACAGTTCATTCTTCTTTGCTTCAAATTTTTAAAATTTATTTTTACTTTTTGGTAGTACAGGGAATTGAACACAAGGCCTTTGACTGAGGCACACCCCCCACCCCTTTTTGGTTTTCTGAGACTGGGTCTCACTATGTAGTACAGGCTGGCCTCAAACTCACAGCAATCCTCCTGCCTCAGCCTCCTGAATGCTGGGATTAAAAGTGTGTGCCACCATGCTCAGCTTCCAGCCCTTTTAAAATTTTGAATTTTTTTTTAAAGTGCACCAAGGGCTTAATTGCCTTTATTTAATGCTTTTATGTGGCATGAGCTCTGTGGAGATATCATTCACACGCTGTACAATCACCCATTTAAGCGCTACAATTTCTGTGGCAGTGGGTGTATTAATAAGGTTGTGTGTATATCCAACACCTCAGGGGATTTAAAAACATTTTCATTGCCCCACAAAGAAGCCCTGTACCCATTCCCTTCTTTCTCTGCCCTCTGTGTCTTTGGCTTTATTCTGCACACTTCATATAAATGGAGTCTTGTCATACCTGTTTCTTTGTACTGGTTTCTCCACTGAGCATAATGTTTAGAGGTCATCTGGGCTACAACTTATATCAAAACTTCATTCCATTTTTTTGGCTAATATTCCACTCATAGCTAGACCACATTTTGTTTACCCATTCTTCTGTTAATGAATGTTTGGGTTGTTCCCATTTTTTGCTTCCTGTGAATGGCGCTGCCACAAACATTCATGAGCAAGTTTTTTGAGGCAATATATTTTCACTAGGGGGTGGGGTAGCCCTGAGAATGATGAAATCACTGGGCCATATGGTAATTCTGTGTTTCACCATTTGAGGACCTGCTAGACTGTTTTCCACAGAGGCTGCACCATTTTTCATTCACACCAGTAGTGCATGAGGGCTCTGATTTGCCACATCCCCCCCAACCCTTGTTGTTATTGGACTTTAATTCTGGTGTGAAGTGGTATTTCATTATGGTTAATATTTCAGTCACCCCTTAGAGCGCTGCACTGCAGCCTGCAGCCTAGCTTCATCCTGAGAACAGGACATTCCCAACTCGTTTCACATGTGGAAACTTTGCTTTCCAGTTATGGCGTGCTGCTGTGGGAGTTGCTCACAGGAAAGGTGCCCTACCACGGCATCGACGGTCTGGCTGTGGCTTATGGGGTGGCAGTCAACAAGCTCACTCTGCCCATCCCGTCTACCTGCCCTGAGCCATTCACCAAGCTCATGAAAGGTATCTGTGCAGCCCTTGCTGGCCTGTATGCAGGATGTGGAAAGCCACTCTGGAGAACATTTGCATGTTTTTAACCAAAAAGCAATGCCTGTGATTGCCATTTTCAATTGTTTCTAAGTAATTATACTGTTTTAAGAATTAGAAATCTCATCATTTGATATAGATTTGGTAAACTCAGTAACTGAGAGCCATCCATTTTTATCAGTGATTCATTTCTCCAGAACTCAAGTGAGTGGCAATAACACTTCACACTACTCTGAGTAGGAGAGAGGAAGCCAGCACAGACCTGAGCTGGATGGACATTGGTCTTGTTACGTTCTACCTAATAAGCAGAAATGTTTTGCAGGCTAATCTGCATGGCTTTGCTATAATCTTTAGATTTGATCCTCATCTTTTAAAAATTGCCAACTCTTTGTGACCAGCAAGTTAACTTCATTATCAGGCTATTTCCTGAACTCCTCTTGTGATTATTATAAGGTTTTGGAGACTTTGGTTTTCTTAGGTTGAATTTTACATGTATGTAATTCTGCATCAGTAAATTTCTTAGTTGTGGCAGCTTAGGCCTCTGAAGCACACAGTTGATGGTAAGGCCCGGAAAGCAGATGTGCATGTTTTCAATGTGGTATAATACAGGCAACAGCAGCCTTGCCTACGAATGATTACTATGGACTCCAGCGTCCTAGACAGTGAGTAACATAAAGGATGCAAAATCATCATCCATAGTTCCTTAGATGGTTCAGGAGCAGAGACTGAGTATGTGAACTTCTGGTTTACAGAGACAGATGTTAAACTGATAAACCGTTCAGAGTAAAACATAACTTAGAAGCCCTGCTGTGGTAGAAGTTGCTGGCCTGTATTTTTTTTGGTACCGGGGATTGAACTCGGGTCCTTGCGCTTGCGCAGCAGGCGGCGAAACCACTGAGCTAAATCCCCGGCCCTGTATTTTTATTTTGAGACAGGGTTTTGCTAATCACTAAATTGTCCAGCCTGAACTCAAGCTTCTTGTCTCAGTTTCCCCGAGTACTGTACTTCAAAATCTAATTTGTACCCCAGTTTAACATTCTCAAACTTGCCCTAGTCTCTCCAATCATCCATTACTTCCTTATACCTGCTCTCGTCTTAACTGGAAGCATGCAGAGGATAAGTAGAGAGTCAAATGAGGGAAATGAACTGGTGGAGAGGGCCAAAATACAGGCAGGAGGGACAATGGGAATAGCAGGGGAGGGAAGAAAGGCTGGGGTGACAAAAGGTGCAGTTACTTACTCTTTCTTCCAAGGCTGAGATGACTCTCCAGTTGTTGAATCTGTTTCAATAAGTCAGGACTGGCCCCACGTCTCTGCAGGGCATGGCCAAGAAGGGAGCACGCATACTGGGCACCCCTGGAGAAAACAACAGGCAAAATACGGTGGCGACCTCCCTAACCACCCCCGCAAATAAAAAAAAAACCCCAAAAAACAAAAACAAAAACAAAATCCCCTCCAAAAGACAAGGATGGATTGCCTCTTTCCACCTCTTCATGCACATATCTAACCACTTCTCCTCCAGGTCTTGGAAAGGGAAGGGCACTAAAAAAAAGAAAAAGAGCCTGTACTGTAAAAGGAGTGGGGAGTACTATTTATAGATTTCACAAAACAAGCAATTTGACAATGATTAGGTATAAGACGGGCAGTGAAGGCAACAAGGTTCCATCACAAGCGCATCAGTGCACGTCCACGATATACGAAGGAGTGGGGGGGGGGGTATGGCTGGAGGGCAGATTATTCCTCCGAATAGGTGAGCTAAGAAATTTCAAGGCCCTAGAGCTGAACGGAGACCAAAAGAGGGCGGAGGCAGAGTTGCTGGCAGGTGACAGCAGAAGGAGGGGTAAGGAACCTAGGAGCTTCTCAGCTCTGGACATAAAGTCCAGATCGCTATCCACCGTGGGACAAACGCTCCTCATTCCACACCGCCTAGTGAGAAAACTGTTGAATTTAAGTGGGCACAGAAACCTTGAGTGGCCTCCCTGCTGGCCCACTCGTGCCTCAGTTTCTCCATCTTTCCCATGAGCAGAAAAGAATCATCTCTTCACGACCACCTCAAATCTGCTGCTCAGAGTCGGCACAGGCCCCCGTAGTCAGAGTTGACCCTTTTGGACCCCCGTAGCCCGGCTTGACCTCGCCTCACAAGAATCTTCCTCTGCCCAGCCCTCCCCCGTTCCTATTTGGGCCGCACCGACAGAGCCGCTCCCGAGCCTGGCTCTGAGCACTGAAGCGGACCCAGGAGTCCATGACAGAGGCCGCCGCGGCTCCACAGCCCCGCTCCCGCCCCATTTCCAGCCCCCAGTCACGCCTACTAGGAGAGCCAACGGTGCCTCACGAGGGACAAATAGCATCAGAAAAGAAAACGTGTGGACCCAGTCCCTGAAAGCAGTTTCCGAACGCGAAGCGCTGGTCTTTGGGTCTGCACTCTCGTGTTATGTGCGTGAATCTCCGTCAGATTCCCTTATAAAACGTCTCTCCTAAGCACGCCTCCCGCAGTATATTCTGCTTTAAATATTCAGGATTAAAGGCGGGGCCTGCAGGGGCGGAGCAAGAAAGCTCCGCAGTGAGCTCCACGCCCCGGAGGCTGGAATAGGGTTCACCTAGGGTGCGCCCAGCCGAACGCCCCACAACGCGCGCGTGCGCACACCGGTCGAACCTCGGGCTCCAGGCGCCAAAGGGGTCTTAAGCAGTTAAAGCCCGAAACCCAGACTAATCTGTGCAAGGGGAAGGGCCATGGTTAACCCCAGATTTCTGTTTGGTGATCTCCAGCATAGATGGAGAGTCTGCAGACAGCCTTTAGTGGACGAAATTTCCAGTAACCGGCTTCAAAAGTTAAAAGGAAAGCGAAGAATCCGCGGCCGAAGCTAACCGCTTCGCATCACTGTGCGTCCTCCCCGCTCTGTCCTTCTAGGCCGCCATGTCTGCAGGCAATGGCACCCAGTCTGGGTCAGCGGTGGGGGAGGAGGTCTGGGCGGGATCGGGAGTGGAGGTGGAGGACTCAGAGCTGCCCACCTTCTCGGCTGCGGCCAAAGTCCGAGTAGGAGTGACCATTGTGCTCTTTTTTTCTTCTGCTGGAGGAAACCTGGCCGTGCTGTGGTCAGTGACACGGGCGCAACTTAATCAGCTCCGTCCGTCTCCCGTCCGGCGACTTTTCGCCCACTTAGCAGCTGCGGATTTACTGGTCACTTTTGTGGTTATGCCCTTAGATGCTACCTGGAATATTACTGTTCAGTGGCTGCCTGGGGACATCGCGTGTCGAATACTCATGTTTCTAAAACAAATGGCCATGTACGCTGCAGCTTTCCTGCCAGTGGTCGTCGGGCTCGACGGCCAGGCAGCAGTACTCGACCCACTTGGACCCCGCTCAGGTGGAAGGAAACTTCTGGGGTCGGCCTGGGGACTTAGTTTCCTGCTCGCCTTGCCCCAGGTGAGTGACTTGGGACTCAGGCTTGGGCTAGACAGGGATTTGGTTACAGCATGTGAGTCCGGGGAGTCAGCGGGGGAGGTCATTAGCCAGTAATCCTGGGGAGGGTGCCCCTGGCATCCCTTGGGCAAGTTAAGGTCCTTTGCACGTTAATTTACATCTGAGAACCAACAGTACCGTTTCTGTGCTTCTTCCTTTAGATTTGCCTTTACTGTACTTGGTTTCCACCTCTTTGCATCCTCCCAGTCCTACCTTAAGGAGATTGGTGCAGAGAGACTAGGGCTGGAAGAAAACTCGGGCTTTTAATAGAGTGAAGGGGCTTTTGTTAAAACTTTGTGGTACATTTACTTATCGACTTAAAAAATAACGTGAGTCCTCTCCAGGTGCACTCAAATGCTAAGGACAGAGCAGCAAAGCCCTGTATTCAAGAAAAGTATAGACTAGTGCAGGAGACAAATTAGGTAGATGGAGCTCAAGGTGAGGAGCTAAGAAACAATGGAGGGTTCAGACTCACTCTTGGCGTCAGGGAAAGCTTTCCAGAGTTGTTAAAATCTGATTTTTAAAATTATTTATTATTTTATTACCGGGGAATGAACTCAGGACCTTGAACTTGCAAGGCAGGCGTGATGCCACTGAGCCAAATCCGCCGCCCAAAATCTGATTCTTGAAATACAAATGTAAAACAAGTTAAAGCCGAGTAATGCTGGGGAGGATGGAATCTGCGTAGCAACCTTGCTACTGATGTTGAAGACTAGAAAATGGTAATGAGCAGGGAGGGTAAGGGCAGGCCAGATCCCAAATTAAGTGTGAACTTTACCTTGAGAGCAGTGGAGGCACACTAAGGTAAGAGGTGAAGAGCGACATCAGTTTTGTATTTTTTACTTTGACTTTATTGGGTGTTTTATGGGTGTTAAAACTGGAAACAAGGGAGCATCTGAACTTTAATACTGGTTATTCAAGTCTCTATACTGAAAAGGAGCTAGAGTCTAGAAAAAAGATAACTGTAGAACAATACTTTTTAAAACAAAAAACAAAAAAAATAAACACTACATATAGAGCAGCATATTTTGGGACAGCAGGATTAGGGTTATCAAGGAGGCCAAGAAGGGTCTGATTTCAGTCTGTGGAATAATAATGCATTATCATCAATGGCTTAAGATTTGATCCTTAAATCCTCAATTAGAAATTTAACTATCAAAACTCTGACTATAGCCAGGCAAAGTGGAATAAACCTATAATTCCAGCACTTTGGGAGGCTGAGGCAGAAGGATTCCAAGTTTAAGCCTAGCCTGGGCAACGTAGTGATTTAGTGAGACTCTGTCTAAAAAAAAAATGAAAATGAAAACACCGGCAAAAATATTTATAATATTTATTATATATATTACTTCTATCAGTGTTATAAACAGGACCTCTACCAATCCAAGTGAAAAACATAAATAAAAAAGCCTGTTGCCACAGTGCAATAGGAATCATAGTTGGATTTATTTAAATGAAGATTTTAGACGTAGACTGAGAATTAGAAGACTTTTTGTTGCACTGACTTAGTATGTTTTGTTTCAGACGAGATCAGGCACGTTCAGGGTGGTATGGTCGGAGACTATTTTTTGTTTCAGTGTAGACCATACCACTAACATGTCTTTGGATAAGTCATTTAAATACATGATCATTTCTTATAGCCTGGCATTATTATCTGATATTAACTGCAACCTCTGTAGGTCTCAATGGCAAACTGGTCGTAACAAGTGTATGTTCAAAAGGTGACTTATCTTTGGTTCCCAATTAGAGTCCTTTTGGATAGATTCTGCATTGCCATATGTTGTTAATTGTATTTAAAATATTACTGTCGATTAAAACTACTATGGTCTCTCAGCGGCACACCGCCTGCCTGGCAAGCACAAGGTCCTGAGTTCCATCCCTGGTACAAAAAAAAAAATTACGGTCTAATATAAGTATAGCAAAGGAGTATCAGGAAATTACTTTTTTGTGATACTGGGTATTGAACCCAAGGCATCAAACATGCTAAGGAAGCACTCTATCCCCAAGCTACAGCCCCAGCCCTAGAAAGTACTGACTTTTGTAGGCTCATGTTTCTAAATTAGCAGTATTTGAAAGGACAGTTTCTACTGTAGGTGGTTAAGTTACATATAAAATAGAAAAGGAGGTAGATGCAAGGATATGGACCAAACTCTAAGTCCAAGGGCTTTTAATTATTTTTATACTCCTTCTCACAGTTCTCAAGTACTTCTAGACATAATGCATAAAGAAAAATAAACATCCAGAAATATATGGACACAGGTAGGTGAAAAGGAAAGATTACCCCCAACTAATTCAGAGTGGCCTGATCATATCTCCAAGAAGTTTGTAACATTGTCTTTAGCTCATCCTATTCACCTTTCTTAAAAGTCTCTCATGCTTGCCTAACTTTCTCAAATGCTTCTGATTATCTGGGAATCTGACACCCGACTGACTGGTTTGCCTTTTATCAAATTAATAGTGACTTAATCTTTATTACTAGAACCATGGCATTCTATGTAACCTTGTAACTCTAAATTTAAAAATGCTCCTGATTCAATCCAGAAACCCAGTAACTTAAAGAGGAAGGGGCAGCCAAAAGCATTTGAAAAATGTTAAATTTTACCATTCTACCATTAGTTACTGTATATAACACCATTACGAAAGGTCATTGCAAAGTGGCTGCAAAATGGCCTGAAATTTTTAAGTGCCTATTTTATACATGATTTTCTCCCATGTTATTTACCAGATATACCAGGAGAATCACTTCAACTAAAGATGTGGATGAAATAGTGGATATATCAGTTTTTATAAAGTCCAGTGTTAGAATCTGAGAAGGCAGGGGGTTTTTTGGGGGGGTTTTTTTTGGTTTTTTTTTTATGTTCTAGGATTTAACAAACTTCATTCTTTGCACCATATTCAAGCCTGATGGGAAAATACGAATTTTCAAGATACACTGCTCATCTTTTTAAAGTAGCACTATGAGCCAGGTGCAGTGGCCCATGCCTGTAACCCCAGCAACTCAGCACCCTGAGGCAGGAGTTCAAAGCCAGCCTGAGCTAGTGAGACCCTGTCTCAAAAAGGCAAAAATAAATAGAAGTGGCACTGCACTCCTCCACCTGGAATTAAGGGTTAACTGGGAAGAGACATCGTGACCTAAATGGGTGCACTGTCGGATTCGGGAATCAGTTCTAACAGTCCTGAAATCCACTTCAGCTGTTCCTGTTCCATACTGCCCGTCGAGCTGGGCCAGTCCCTTTCACTCAGTGTGTCACCAAAGGCAGCTTCAAGGCTTGATGGCAAGAGACCACCTATAAGCTCTTCACCTTCTGCTGCCACTGACTGCCACGGCCATCTGCTATAGCCGCATTGTCCTCAGTGTGTCTGGTCCCCTGCCCAGGAAGAGGAGCCATGGTGAGAGTCTAATTCCCAGGCCCTATGCCTTACCCTACAAATGCTGCTTCTAGCATCGTTCGTCTTATAGCTGTCAGTGACAAAAACAGTAAGATGCTAGCCATATCTCTAATGCCTGATGCTACACGTTATTGAATGCCTTTAGTTCAAAATTACCTAGAGCTGAGAAAGCTGGGGAAGGATCAGTGAGAAAGGGAATCATATCCTTTTTTTTTGGTACCGGGGATCGAACTCGGTTCCTTGCACTTGCACAGCAGGAGGACCAGAGCTAAATCCCCAGCCTTCCTTCTCCTCTATTCTTGGACAACATCAAGTCTTAGACTTGATGACCGTACCTAATACATTTTAATCAAAACCTCTTCTCTTACAAAAAAAAAAAAACCTCTTCTCCAACATGTCTCTCATTATGCTGGAGGGAGGGGATTATATAGTCCTAGGCTGGGAAAGGAAAAATGGTTTGCAGCATACTGCTTGTAGATGGGGAATTCCTCAGTGCCTCTGCCCCTCCATCCCTATACTTAGTTCAGAAGCTGAGTGGTTCTAAATTTGGATGTATTTTCTAAATTCCTATCCCCTGCCAGTGAATTTAATCTCCGCCGCTCCTTAGACACTCACCCCCGAGTTCGTCTTTGGGCCCTGCGCCTGGCCCTCCTTATCTTGCTGACCTTCGTGCTCTGCTGGACACCTTACTACCTACTGGGTCTGTGGTACTGGTTCTCCCCTGCCATGCTGAGTGAAGTCCCTCCCAGCCTTAGCCATATCCTTTTCCTCTTTGGCCTCCTCAATGCTCCTCTGGATCCTCTACTCCATGGGGCTTTCACCCTTGGCTGCCGAAGAGGGCACCAAGAACTCAGTGTTGACTGCTCCAGTAAAGGAGGGTCTGGGAGGATGTCCGGACAGGACAGTCAAGCCCCCAGGCAGCTGGAAGTACAAACAAATGTGACACACAGAGATGGAGAAACACAAGAGACATTCCTGTAGCCTCCATTTGCTCACAGCACAGTACGAGTACAGACTATTCTCTAACACCCTAAGAACACCTGTTAACCTTGCTTTTTTAATTATCAAGAAAATGAAATACTAAGCAGACTCTTTAACCCTGCCTGAGACTTGTAATTATGGCTAATGCAGAAACTTATAGAACATAGGTCCTGGCAGAAGCATCTTCACAATGACCCATACGGCCTTAATGTAAATAGTGTTTCCGAGCTTTTAACGTTGGAACAAGAAAGTAATTTTAAATATAGAAAACAAAACATTTATTAATAACTCAAAAGAAACACTATACGGGTAGGGGTAAGAGATTAAATACAAACAGAGTTCCACCCCAAATGTATTTCTCCAAGGCTGCATAGCCAAATGGAATCTTGCGAGACCATCTGGACAGGAGGAACTGTCAGCGACGTCTCCGGTCTGGACTCCTGCTGCGTCTTCGGCCACCTCTAGAGAAGAGTAAAGAGGAGGGGACTCCATCAGAGGGATGTAATATACTGCCTTGTTCTGTTTTACTCATATTCCCTTCACCAGCACACTTGTTTACCCGCTCCGCTTTACCTTCTCTTGCCCTTGGGGGGACCTCGAACAAAACACCAGTCCACACTGATTGGCTGTCCCATCAAATCCTGGCCATTAAGTCCCTCCATAGCAGCCTGGGCCTCTTTGTATGTTTCATACTCAACTAGAGTATACCCCTGGGGCAAGAAAAGACTGATTTGAAAACCCTCCTGTACTACCAAGCACCCAGTACCCTCATCCTCAGATCTAAATGTGTAAACAGAAAAACCTACAAACTCTGCACAATGAATGTACATCAATCACATATCCTTACGGTACATACAATGTGTCTGTCTTATTTGTTTATCTCTTTCCTGTGTCTAACAAAATCAGATTTCAATGTCACCTTATTTCAATTCTGTTCCTGGCCAATCACAGCAAACATGACAACCACCAACGCTGTGTAAGGATTATGGGGGAAGGAAGGGAACTAAGTGTCACTTCAGATACCTTCAGATATCCTGTACGCCTGTCCAAGTTCAAATGGATGTTTTTTATTTCCCCATATTCTGCGAATTTGTCATGGATATCTTCTTCAGTGGCTTCCTCGTGGACTCCAGTGACAAAGAGAATCCAGCCTTCAACAGCTGTTGGAGAAAGGAGGGTGGTTAAATGTGAACATGAGAGAAACTACAGGCAGGGTACAGGAGTCCAGTGCATGCGCTTGAGCCAAGTCCTCTCGGATCCCATGCCTCCTGGGTTTATTATCGGTCCCTGCTACAGACACAGGTCCTCAGATTCTACTTCACTCACAGCGCTGTGGTCCAGGTTCGTCGCCATCCTGTTCCACACTGTCATAATCCTCACGCATCCGTGCTCGGGATCCCTCTTCTACAAGGAACACACACCAGATTACCAAAACTCTTCCTTTCTCCCACTGTTCTCTGTAAGTTGGGTGGGGACTCCAAAATTCACAGCTCCCATCCTATTAGACCATTCTCCCCCATTCCCCACACTTACCAGAGCCAAAGCCACGGCCCTTCCGTTTCTTTGCTTTTTCTTTCAATTTGTGGATGCTCTCTGGAGCCCCAGAAGAGAAAAGAATGAGTAACAAACACAAGTCTTTTTTTCCCCGATTGTGTGTGTGATACTGGGGATTGAACCCAGGTGCGCTCTACCACTGAGCTGTATCCCCAGCCCTTTTTACGTTGCAACGGGGTCTTGCTAAATTGTCTGGGCTGGATTCAAAATTGGTATTCTCCTGCCTCAGCTGGGGTTACGGGTGTCTGCCACCATGCTATGCCGTGTGTGTGTGTGTATTTTTTTTCCCTCTCAGTACTGGGGCTTAAACTCAAGCCCTTCCAACTGAGCTACATCCCCACCCCTTTTTATTTTATTTTTTAAGAAAGGGTCTCGCTAAATTGCTCAGGCTGGGCTCGAACTTGAGATCCTCCTGCCTCACCCTCCCAGAGTGCTGGGATTACAGGCGTGTAGCACCACGCCAAGCTCTCAAAGTAATTTTTAACATTTGCCTCTTTCCTTAAATTATCAGAAAATGTATCCTTTGCTTTCAGGCTCAGTCCCTTCCCGGTCCCGCCCCTAGTCTTTCCAAAGGGGCGGAGCCTCTAACCGAGCCCCAGTCGCCCGGCTCCCATCCACCCCGCCCGGGAAAAATTTTCCTATTACGCTATACTCTCGCACCTTCCCCGCTTCCCGTAGCCGCCTCCACTGTCCTCACCGTCCCCATCCTCATCCATGGCGAAATCCTCGCCCCCGGCCTCGTGAAGATCCAGCACGTCCGCCATCTTGCCTTCGTAAGAACTCTCTTCTGTGCTGCTCACGGACTAGCACCTCAGGAAACTGTCTCAGAGGAGAAAGGTCACTAGTGAAATTGACCAATCAAAGGCTAGCTCTAACTCCCGCCCTCGGCGCAGTAAAAATACGCACTGAAGGCGGGCTTATTTAAGAAAGCTGCCGGAAGTGCTGCTGTAGCCATATTGAGCAGGTCGCGCTAGCGAAACTACGAAAGGGCGGAGTTAAGGGCTTTCTCTTCGATACCTGTGGCAGCTCTAAAGAAATACTAGCAATGGAACCTAGCTTGATTTCCTCGTTAGACTGCTTTCTGTCCCTTCTTCAAGCTAGGACGTAGAAGTTAAAGTTTTATTTTGTTTTTCAATCTCAAAATTTCTAGGCCTGGCACTGCATTCCAGGGAGCAATTCTACCTACGATGGAAGTATTAAAAAAAAAGTTCAGGGCTGCTGTTCATCCCCAGCACTGGGGGTGGGAGTGGGGGTGGAAGTTGCAGTCAGCAGTGCTGGCTCAAAAAACCTGCTTCTGCAACATAGTGGAGCACCGAGTTTCAAGGAAACTGACGGACCTAGTTGCCTTTGAAATTCGATTGGTGAGACAGATACAGACTTTTAAAAAATAAATCTCAAACTCCTTAGCACCTCTAGGACCTGAGGGTGGAGGAAGTCTACTCTTAAAATAGTGGCTTTAGGTTCTTTGAGGATGGTACAGGAGTTTTATGTTTTTAAAAACTATGAGCCAGGCGTGTTGACACATGCCTGTAATCCCAGCACTAGGGAGGTTGAGGCAGGAGGATTCCTGTGAGTTCGAGGCCAGCCTGAGCTACATAGTGAGTACAAAACCAGCCTAAACTACATATCCAGACCCTGTTTCCAAAAAAAAAAAAAAATTATAAATAAATAAAAATAACCCTATAAGTCGGGTTGCCAGGTGAGGTGATGCACACCTGTGATCCCAGCGCTGCTTGTATTCCCAGTACTTGGCAGGCTGAGGCAGGAGGATCACAGTGAATTCCAGATCACCCTGGACTACACAGCAAGACCCTGTCTCAAAAATCAAAAACAGAGCTGGGAATGTAGCTCAGGGACACAGTGCCTGCCTGGCAAGTGTGAGGCCCTGAGTTTGATTCCTGGTACAAAAATAAATAAATTTTTAAAAACACACCTATGAGTTGGGCAACACTCATATTGCCCCCCAAGTTCTGCAATCATGATGTAAACCTTCAACGATGGTGCGCTGTGGGCTAATCAAATAGTTATGATGCCTATGTGTGTCTAATATTAGAAAAAGTGCAGGCAATAAAAGGATAATCACATTATCAACAGCACGCCTAGTGTAGACTGATTTTTTAAATGTAAATTTACATTAAGTGGAAATTTTTTTTTTTTTTTGGTACCGGGCATTGAACTTAGGTCTTTGTGCTTGCGAGGCAGGCATTGGAACCACTGAGCTAAATCCCTGGCCCTAGCGGAAATTTCAATACAACCACAAATGGAAATCAATATTTTTCTACCACAAATTCAGATGAAAGTATAACTATTAAAAAGTGACACCTATCACCTAAAATCACCTCAGTAATGTCAATGGTTTACATATAAAACTTTGGGAAATGCTGCTAAAGATAAAAATAGCCAAGTGAAAGTTTAAGCAAGGGAGTGACACAGTCATGGGTATTTTAAAAAGAAGTAACATGGAGAATATTAAGAATGAAAAAATTAGTTAAGAAGCTATTGTAGTGGTCCAGTCCATATAGTAGAAAGAACTGAACTAAAGCAGTAAATATGGACAAAACAAATTAGAGTTTATATAAGTGGTCGGCTCAACAGTGACTAGACGAAGGTTGGGCAGAGTTGAGAATTGACCTAAAATTTGTGGCTCAGATAGGTAGATGATTCCAATAACAGGTTTAGGGAGTCATAAAGGAGTACAGACAAATGGCCTTAATTTGGATATGAGAATTCACAGTGCTACTGTCACATGCACGTGGTTAGTAATGTCCATCATGTGAAAAAACACAAGGGGTGATAAAAACATACGGTGAATGTTTAGATTTTACAAAACTTATTTTATTTATTTATTTGTTTGTTTATTTATTTATTTATTTTGGGGTTTTTTGAGACCAGGTCTCACTGGGTAGCTCAGGATGGCCTTGAACTCATGGCAATCCTTTTGCCTCAGCCTCCTGAGTGCTGGAATTACAGGCATATGCCACCATGCCTGGCTTACTTTTTAAAATTTATTACAATGAAAGTCACATTGCCATTAGTCTTCCTCAAAATACTTTGCCTTTTTTCAACCACGCTTATCCCATTATTCTTGCCACTTTATGAAGCAGTTCTGGTAGTCTTCTTTCGAAGTCTTTTTGAGTCGTGATAAAAAATACGGTGAATGCTGTTGCCCAGTACCATCCAAAGAAAAGGCAGGTTTATAAAAACTTTGTTCCCCAGATCTGGCACTGAGATTTCTGGTTTTTCCCCAAAGTCAAAATCACCATGAAAGGCAAATGTTTGGAATTGATTCAGGACATTGATTCAGGACATTGGGGACATTGATTCAGGACACCATGAAAGGCAAATGTTTGGAATTGATTCAGCAGCCATGAAAGCACAACTAATGAGACTCATACAAAAGGACTTCCAGGGCTGGGGATTTAGCTCAGTGGTGTCACTGCATGCCTCACAAGCACAAGGTTCTGAGTTTGATCCCTGGTACCAAACCAAAAAAAAAAAAAAAAAAAGGACTTCCAGAACTGCTTCAGAAAGCGGCAAAAATGATGGAATAAGTGTGTCTGAAGGAAGAAGGAATGTTTTGAGGGGGATTGGAAGAAATAGGTTTGACAGTTGTGCATGTAGAGGAGTTTAAGTCCGCTTAATGGGTTAACCGCACATTGGGGATGAGCAAAGGCATAGAAGGGGCCAAGCACAAAACCCAGGCTCCTTACACATCTGGAGAAGGGGAGGCAGGCTGCCTTTCCTTAGCCACCTACAATTTTATTTCTACCACCCATGAAATATAATAAAAAGTTCTTGTTTTGTGTATGTATAAATGAATAGGGCCATTTTACAGCTCCTGTAATATATAGGTCTCAAGAAACAGTCATTCTGGACAAAAATCTATTTTTAATTATACAAAATTATACATATAAAATACATAAAAAGTACTAAAAAGAGAAGTAAAATCATCAACACCAAGAGCAGACAGATCAGGGAACAATTTTTGTCAAGTTCTTTGGGATCTTGAGTATTTGAGAAAAATAATAAATCTTGGAGGTTCAAGGACAATTCTTCCCACAACTAATGCCTCTTAATAATTTTTCCCAGAGGAAGAAGCACAGGAGAAACTGGAGGGGTCATGATTTCTGGGTTATAAATATCACTCAATAAAAAGAGATAGATGCACCTATTATGTAATGTAGGCTCCTCTACTCCAACCCCACGTGTTCCATAGAATACAAAGATGGGGCTCAGAGAATCAAGGAAGCCTCTTTTAAACACCACTATAATTGTGGACAGACTCCTTATTTTTGATCCCATATGTACTAGTCACCAGATGATTTCCAAAGCAAGAAAATTCCCTTTCATCTTGCTCCTATCTAATCCAAAACAGTAAATTATGGTCTTTTTCTTAGTCTACTTCTAAAAGAAAATAATGCAATTGATAAATGGGAAGTCCAACTGCAGGAGCATTAAACTTCCCAAACTCAGTTTAGAAAGTGCACTGAACAATAATATAGTATAATGGAGATTACAGAAACAAGGGGAAAATATACTTTACTACATATAATTCTCCAAAAAAGTTCTCTGAGGAAGAATTTTGTAGTTCTACTGCAGATAATTTCTTACTTCACCCAAGAGAAAGGTGGGGGAGGAGAACCATATCAAAAACACATATAGCAGATCGTTGTTCTCTTCCCCTTCCTGCAGTTTCCCAAAGTTCCAATGAGGAAGTTGTATAATACCAAAGTCTCATCTAGTTTTCCTAACTCATGCTCAAATAATGAATGTGGAGAAAAGGGAAAGCAAAGAGAAGAAACAGATGAAAATCTAAAGTAGCTTACATACATCTAAAGTACAAACAGCAGCAACTTAGTGGAAGTGAGAGGAACTTGGCCCTTACTTGCCAAGTAGGATAGATATTGCTTCCACAGAGCAAAATGATGGGGCAGGGTGGGAAGTGGTGGGGCATTTTATTTCCTACCAAGCTCTGCAGGCAGGAAGTTTAGATATGAGGCTTAATTAAGCTGGGTGAGCGGGGGAGAAATGAAAAGAGAATGCTGAATGATAGCATCAAACTTGACCTCCCTCTTACTACAGAGTACATTTAGCAAGCTGGGATGGTATATATAAGCCTCAGAAGCAACTTAGATAGTAACCTCCATGAATTGTAATTATAATTGCTCTCTTGTTCCTGGGCAGTTTCTCAGGAGCAATTTAAGAATAAGAAACCATAGCTCTAAGAAAGCCTTAAAATAAAGGAGCATTTGAAGGCAAAGAAGGAGTAAGGACATAGAGGGGGGAAAAAAGGATACCACGCAGATCCAGCTCGAGATAAACCAAAGCCAAAGGCTTCTAACACATACCCTGTTTGAATGCAAGAGAAGGCAAGAATGCGGGTGAGGGTGGGGCACATAGTCCTCCTCCAGCCTACCTGTTCTTTTATTTATTGATTTATTTTTTGGTATCAGGGATCGAACTCAGGACCTTGTGCTTGCGAGGCAGGCACTAAAACCACTGAGCTAAATCCCTGGCCCTGTACCTGTTCTTTTAAAAGAAGGAAATAGCAAATGAGCACTTAGTCAATCATGTGCCACTGAAATGACTTGGCGACTTTATCTGGAAGTCTAAGAGCCAACAATGCTCCAGAGAGAGTCTACGCTTTCTTAAGTGGAATGGAGATGTTTCAAGTGAAACCACATCGAAAAACTGGAAGTTAGAAAAGGGATCTCTTAGCAAATAGGAATCCAGGTATAGAAATTATACATATATCTTTTAAAGTATAAAACTGAGAAATTATATACAGAAATCATCCTAAGTCTTAGCAAGGAGACATACAAAAAGGGTGTGGCGAGGATGGGGAGTCTGAGGGAAGGTGCCTAGCAGTTGGAGGAATGCATATTGCCCAACTGCCCAGCAGCCAGCATGAGAATATCTTTCTTCTCCTTGTGAAAGCGCAGCTCCTTGCCTGCCAGCCGAGCTTCATCCAGCTCCCGTTCGGTGGAGGCCAGCTCTCTAGACAGTGCCCCTGGCACACTCTGCTCCCGGCTCACCCAGTCCAAGGCCATTTGGTGGCGAATATCATCATCCAGGGCCCGGTGCGAGTAATGAGCCAACACCTCCTAGTTGGGCAGGGGAACGGGAAGATCACTAAGAAGGTAAAGGTTCATGTCATACCACACTGACCCAACTGGAAGTAGGTACTCGAGGCCTCAGAGTCCTAACTGAAGTCAACAGCTGGCTTTCAAGGAGATTCTTAAGGGAAACTCCCTGGTGGGGGAAGCAAGGCAGGCAAAAGTATCCCGGTGAAGATTTCAATAGGAAAGATTATAGGGGTGGAGAGTGCCCTTAAGTAAGGCTTTCAATATTTATAATTAGGAAACCATATGCGTCCTTATTTCTAACATCACAGCTACCTCGAAGCAGTCCTTCCACACTATTCTTGTAGCCCATAAGATCTCTTACCTGACGAGAACACTGTCTTTCCCTCATGGCCTTAAGGCTGCCATTCCAGTGCAGCAGTTGAAAAACTGTCATTAGCTCCTGGGGGAAGAAGATATGAAGTACCATGACAATGATTTTACATTAGGAGACTGTATCAGAATCACATGGAGGAGAACTTTTTACAAAATGTATCTGTAGAAGTATCTGAAATCACCAACTCAGATAGGCCCTTGGAGAAAGGAAGGTATGTGGACATTGAAAAATATTCTAACATCCTTCTTTCTTTTCCTTTTCATTATCAGTGACTTAGAAGGTATTAGGCTGAGCCATTTTATCGGAGTCAGGGGAGTAGGTGGAACAGTACCTGGAACTCCAACATTGACTTGCCCTTGTTGGATTCCAACATGAATCGGAAGGCACCAATCCCCGTATTTGGGTTGTCGGCTTCCTCCCTGTTGCCCTGGTAACAGAGAACCAGAAAAGACAAATAGATTTTCAATCACCATTATCACGGGAGCAGCACTATCCAGCAGAAAGATAATGTGAACCACATGTTTAAATTTTCTAGTTGCCACTGTATAATAAAAATAAACAGGTAAAATTAATTTTTAAAAACATACTTTAACTCAATATATTCACAATATTATCTTTCAACTGTAGTCAGTATAAATTTTTTTTTTCCAGTACTGGGGATTGAATCCAGTGCCTTCTTACTGAAACACATTCCTAGCCCTGTTTTGTTTTGTTTTTAGTTTTTTGAGACAAGTCTAACTATGTGATTCAGGCTGGCCCTGAACTCACTATATAATCCAGGCTGGCCTCAAATTTACAGTGATTCTCCTGCCTCAGCCTCCCAATGCTAGGATTACAGGTCAGCCCCTTTTAAATTTTTTTATATTGAGACAGAGTGTTGCTAAGTCAGTAAGTTTCCCAGGCTGGGCTAGAATTGTGATCCTCTTGCCTCAGCCTCTCAGAGTGCAGAAATTACAGGTATGTATCACTATGCCTAGCTCAGATGTTCCCTATTTTACACAGGGGAAAAAACTAAGGCACAAAGAACTCTGATTCACCCAAAATAAAAGATTGAGTTAGGTGCACAGGATCAGACTAGCCTGGAGGACAACTGAGCCTTCGAAAGGGAAATAGTGGGAGCCATAAACATGGAGAAATCCCCACTTGGGCCTCCTGCACATTTCCCTAATGTGTCTTCTATTGGTTACATGACTTTGCAGGGGTGGGCTAAAGACATAATGTCCAGCCTGCAAACCTAGAATGTGCAAAAAACAATTCGATGTAAAAGTTAGCAAGGACCAGAGCTCCTATTAGTCACATGGCCTTCGGGAATCATTTAATGTCTTTGTTTCTTAGTTTCCTCATCTGTAAAATAGGAGTAATCATAGACTTACCTTATAGGGTTGTTTTGAGAACTAAATACATTTTCTAAATTAAGAAAAAATTAGTGAGATACATGTGGTCTAAAACCAACCACACAAAATACAAGTGCTGTGTTGTACTAGAGCTGGTGTCCAGGTACACAATTCAAATCCATTCTGGGACTGGTGATGGTTTGGTGACATTTGGTAGTGGTTTTCTCTCTGGCTTAATTATTGGGGATAATTCCAGACCATGGAGCAGGCTGGTTTACTGGTGACCCTTTTGTCAACCTGATCTGAATAGGGCCAAGAAACTACTGGGAACAGCAGGACCCAACTTTCTCAGAAGTTGCCTGCTCTTTCTAGCCAGTTCCACACAACCCAACATGCCAAGATAACTTTATTTTGCATTCTTTGATAAGGGTACTGGTGCTGGGGATTTAGCTCAGTGGTTTTGCCACCTGCTGCGCAAGCGGCAAGGACCCGAGTTTGATCCCTGGTACCAAAAAAAAAAAAAAAAGAAAGAAAAGGGTACTGGCTAGAGGTCAGGAGCCCATCAGACTATATCTAATTTCAGTTTTATTGTGGAACACTTTTCTTTCACATTTTTGTTAATTATTTAGATATTATATATTTGTTTTCTTTTCTTTTTTGGGAGGGGGTACCAGGGATTGAATTCAGGACCTTGCGCTTGTGAGGCAAGCATGGTGCCACTAAGCTAAATCCCTGGCCCTACCGTGGAGCTCTTTTCATGGGGTTTTCCTGTATATGTATTACATCTAAAATAATGCCAAGTACTTAATAAGTACACTGCAAATGTTAGCTTATTATTATTCTTTATTGTTACTGTGCTAGAATTAACCAGCAGAAGGGCTAAAGATTAACTCATATTATTTTGTGGCTCATGAGAAACAATCAAAGCACACATGTAGTTAATCTTTGTCATGAGCAAAAGTCACAAGATTTGGATTTAGAAGAAAAAGCTGGAGAAGCTTTTGGGGGGGAGGAGTTGAGATAGGGTCTCACTGTATAGTTCAGGCTAGTCTGGAGCTCACTATGTACAGCAGCCTGGTCTCAAACTAGCAGTGATCCTCCTGTCTCAGCCTCCCAAGTGCTGGGATTATAGGTGTACACCACCATGCCCAGCAGCTGGAGGGGCTTTTACTGGAAGGAACAAAGAAAGCAATTTTCAAAATTAGGTTTTAGGATTCTGAAGCAAGAACACTCATTTTTACCAGTAATTCTTCGACATGATAATTTACTTAGTGAGTCCCAAATGCCTCCATGATATGACACATATAAAATAATGACCATATCTGTATAGCCAAATGGGATATACAACCGGAGTTGTATATCAGGCAGAGAAGGTGATCTGCCCCAGGCCTTGCTCCTTCTTCTGAAGTTGAAGGAATCAGTATCGTGACACACCTGTAACTCATCATATACCAGAGTGACATGCTCCACCAGTAAGGAAGTTCTGCATCGTATCACACCTCCACACCTACCAGGGGTAAACCTACTCCATTTATTAACAAACATTCAATCACACGATACTGGATAAATAAAAGGATCCTTAGGATATAAATGGAAAGAAGTTAGAGATAATTTAATGCAACCAACTTATTCTACAAATGAGAAAACTCAGACCCACTGAAGCTAGGTGATTTGTCAAATAAAACAGTACAATTTAGTTTCACTTTCAGTACCCTTAGAAACAAAAAAGTAATGTGGGCTTCATTATTTATCCACAGCTATGATTAAATGAAAATTGCTCTCCTGGTGAACAGGGATTCCACTGGGGAACTGCAGAGAGATCCATTAAATTCTCAAACCGGGAGGGTTAATCAAAGATCAGTGGACTCAGAATACTAACTCAGGTTCACGTTTCTTAAACAGTTTGTAAAGACACTGCTCAGAATTCATCCAACATCTTTTTCTTTCTTCCTTACTGTAGAATCTTGTTTAGTGATCATCTATCTCTCATCTACCTTAGAGGAGAGTGATTTTATTGCAACTTGTCAATCCTAATTCCCTTTGCCACTGAATTAAGATGGGAATTCTGTTTCTGTTGTTTGGTTTTGTAGTGCTAGAGACTGAACCCAGGGCATGCTAGTCAAGCACTCCACCACTGAGCTACATCCTTTCCCCCTCCTCCAACTTTTTTGGGGTACAGGGAATTGAACCTAGTGCCTTTCCACTGCGCTATATCCCCAACCCTTTAAGAATTATTATTAGTTTGAGGGAGGGTCTTGCCCAGACTGGGCTAGAAATTGAGATACTTTTGCCTCAGCCTCCTGAGTAGATGGAACAGACATACACAGCTGCCTGGTTTAAGGTGGGGATTCTAGCAATGGGAAGTTGAAAGCAGATCTTGCGGGAGGACTTCTGGGAAAGGATTCCTTACTAATCAGAGAAGCTAGAAGATGGTCTCTTTCCTGTATTTAATGTCTAAAAGTCTGTAGCCACCTGGCACTCTGAGGGGAGTCGATGCAAAGATAAAGCCTGTATCTAGGGGACAGCTGAGTGCAGAGATGGAAAGAATCTGGACCAGGAGGTGATGACATTCTTTTTCTTTTTTTTCTCCTTTCTCTCCACCTGTCTCTGTCTGTCTCTCTCTCCCCCTCTTACTCCCTCTTTCTCTCCTTCTCTGTCCCTCTTACTCTCCCCCTGCCCCTCCCTCCCTCCCTCACTGGCTTGGTTGCAATGGGGTCTTGCTATGTTGCCCAGGCTGCTCTGGAACTCCTGGGCTCAAGTGGTCTTCCAGCTTCGACCTCCCAAGTATCTGGGACTACAGGTACACACCACTGTGCCCAGCTTTAGATGATGACATTCTCAATCTATGCAATCAACTAGCCCTGACATCTACCCTACTTCTGCACTTACTGTCATGTTAGACAATAAATTTCCTTCCTTTATTTCCTTAAGTCAACTTGAAGTGAGATTTCTCTGTTATTGTATCCACAGGCATCTAAAGAGCTAACATGTACTAAGTGCTTAAATATCTCTTTTATCCAGAAACTCCATGTGAAATATATAATTTTTATCCTGTTTTGCAGATGAGGAAACTGACACTTGCTTCAAGTTATGTAATTGGTAGAACCATAATTTCAGTACAATAAATTCAGAGCCCATGCTTCCAACTACTGCACATCCTGCTTTCTATAACTGAAACTCATGTTCAATTTTATAGTATCATTAGGTGAATTAAGAGTGGAAAATGTACTTCTTGATTTTAATTGGCTTTGACTAAAACATTTCTTTCCTTACCATGCTGTTGATTAGGACGAAGAATAATGGGAGGAAAACAGATAGGTTCTCAGTAACAGAAGGAAAGCCAACTTACGACTTAAAGTGCTCAACAATTAATCCATGAAGCAATAAAGCAAGTTGGTATATGTAATTATATCTTAACTAGATGCACAGAGAACAGAAACAGAAAACTGGTCTGACTTTATTACCTTATCAATGAGTTTGTGGGGTAGAAGGAGGAAGGCAGTGTTAATTTTTGAGCTGTGCCTCTCAGCTAAGTGTGCTTGCGTTCTGATCTTGGCTCTACCACTTACTCGCTACATCAAATTAAACAAAACTTCACTTCTGTGATCAGTCTCCTCATCTGTAAAACAGGAATAAAATAGTACTTATACCTCATAGGATTGTCCTGATGATCAAAGGGGATCAAATACATGTAAGTCACTTTAAGTAATGCCTGTTAGCTATGGTTATTACCGTCATCATCATCATCATGATTTGAAAAAGCAGATGTTCTTTTTAAAGAAAGTAAATAAATGATCCTCCCCATTTCTAAAAGGAAAAAAGACTAGACACAATAATAAAAGGGGTCTCTATTAATAAGATGAAGCAACAGAGGCAAGAGACAAATAACATTGAAAACAGTCATTTTAATAAAACGACAGCTCTTGCCAGGCTTAGTGGCACATACTCTTGTCTGGTGCATGCCTGAGGCAGGAGACTCTCAAGTCTGAATCCAGTCTAAGCAACTTAGAGACTTAGACTCTGTCTCAAAATAAAAAAGATAAGGGCTGGGGATTTAGCTCAGTGGCTCTGCCACCTGCCTTTCAAGCGCAAGGTCCTGAGTTCGATCCCCCTGGTACCAAAATAAATAAATAAAATAAAAAAGATAAAAAGAACCAGGGATGTAGCTTAGTGGAAGAATGTTCCTGGGTTTAATCTCTAGTACTGCAAAAAAGAAAAGCAAACATCAATCAAGCAATCAAACAAAAAAACAACAACAGCAACCCAGCTCTCAGGAGCTCCCTCTCTCTCACCATGTGATGCCCTGAGCCACCTCACTAGAAGAAAGATATCAGATGTGGGTCCTTTAACCTTGGACCAGAATCATAAGTCAATAAATGTCTTTTCTTTATTGCATCTAAAAATATATATCTATAATTTAGCCACTAAGAAGAATGTAATCATGTTATTTGGAGGAAAATGGCCAGAATATGAGACCATATGTTAAGTGAAATAAGTCAGACACAGAAAGCTAAATATCACATCTAGTCATGGTGGTACATGCCTGCAATCCCAGCACTTTGAGAGGCTGAGGCAGGAGGATCACAAGTTCAAGCACAGCCTGGGAAATTAGGGGAGTGAGGTAGGGACAGGCCCTGGTTCAATCCCCAGTACTGCAAAAATAAATTTTAAAAAATTAAATAAAAAAGTAATTAATTGATTAATTAAATTTTATAAGAACACTAAGGGACTAAAGTTTTAAACCAAACCACCCAAAGCAAAATTGAAGCTGAATAACTTGAATTTTCGAATAGCTCTAAAATTCCATAAAGCTTTGAATTAAAGGCTTCTAGACACCCAAGAAACACAATGAAAGAGACAAAACAACAAAAGACATAAACCCAGTTACAGAATTAGAGACTGAAAGAATTATAGAATTAAAGACTTGAAACATGGCACACACGATGCAGAACACTGGCAGAATAGACAGAAAGAACTGAGATGTAGACAGAAAAGGAAATAAGAACTCCAGTCCTTCCCTTTCCTTCCTCCCAAATCCAAGTTACTCACATTGAAAGATGCCAGGGCCTCAGAGACGCTCTTCTCAATGAACTCGTCAGTGATCCTGCGGGAAGGGTGTTCGTTGAACACAGAGTTCATTAGTGCAATCTTTGCCGCACTCCTCCGGGCCTCAGCTTTTGTGGGGCAAAACTAGGGAGGGAAGAGAATGAGAGTACTTGTAGATGTGTGTCTGAGAGAGAGGCGGGGACAGTGGAAGGGAAATTCTAGAGATAGAAGGCATCTGGACACTTTTTGGATCAATCAGTTATGTTAAACACACTTTGCAAAGTTTTTATTGTAAAATGGTTGGGATTTTTGGAAACACAGTCTTGGTTCAACATCCTGAAGTCATTAAGGAACTGGAGACAGCTACAGCTCGTATACCAAATTGAATGCAGAATGAGGAGGGCTGCTGAAGTCAGCACAGAACCACTGGACATGAAAAATACCTCTGTTTAAACTGTCAACAGAATTAATTACTCCAAAGCCAGATTCTGGCCAGCTTGTTGGAAATCTGTATCTTGTTCTCTTGTTCTGCGGACAGGCAAGGTTTTCTTTGGATTCCTGTAGATAACCCAAGACTGGAACAAATCTGTGTCTAGGCTGCTTCTGCAGAGGAGGCCTCTGGTTTCCATCTGAGGCAGCCAACCGGATCTTAGACTTCACGTTTAGCTGTGAACAGGCATTTTCCCCAGTAAGACAGTGAGGCAAAGCACTCTCCCTGAACAGGGTCTAAATCTGAAGAAGAAATTTACAGTCTTCCCCACCCCACCCCCAGGGGAAGCAAGGAAAAGAGCGAAGGAAAGCTGACCTGAGAAAAGAAAAAATTAAAACAGAACTCATGTTTTTACTTTGTATCCAACATAGATGTCATAGGGCAAGTCTGATTTTCAGAAGTCTTAAATCATTCAATTCAAGATCCCTGGCCACCAAGCATTCCTTTATAATTCCTCATCATTGGCTGCTTCAAAGGCCTCTTGCCCTTTGTCACTTCTGACTGTGATTAGAGGAAAGGAAGAAAGTGATACTGTAATTTTTTAAGGTACAGGATGTTTCACTACTTAACCATCCTCACTATCAATAATATCTAATGTAACTTACAGTTCTCTCAGAGATAGCACATAGAGCTTAACATATTTTTTTGAGCTTTACATATTTTATTTATTTATTTATTTATTGGTACCAGGGATCGAACTTGGGTTCTTGCACTTGCGCAGCAGGCAACGAAACCACTGAGCTAAATCCCCGGCCAAGCTTTACATATTAACCCTAAACCCTTTGTTTGTTTTCTTTTGTTTTTTGAGACAGGGTCTCGCTATATAGTTCAGGCTGGCCTTGAACTCACTATGTAGCCCAGACTGGCCTTAAACTCACAGTGATCTTCCTGCCTCAGCCTCCGGAATGCTGGGATTATAGATGTGCACCACCAGGCCCTTAAACCCTTTTGTTTCTTCAGTTTCTCTGTTTCTGCTTCTCTGTTGCTAGCCTGCTGTCCACTCTATAGTGCTGTTTCTGAAAAAGTCTTGTGTGAAGAAAACTACCAGGAAAAAATTCACTTGCCAAAATGGATATAAGATATATAAGCTACAAAAGGCCAAGATAGATAATTCTACTCTTTCAGAAAATAAAAGAAATTAAATGACTATAATGGCTCAATTATGGGCACCATCATAAAATTGTTAGATCATTATTGAACATTGTGATGAGATGGGAAAAAGAAGGAAAGATCTTATTCTCTAACAAGAGATGGCACACACATTAGTCATCCGGGGCATACATTTATCTCTCTGAAATGGGCAAGATTCTGAGGAGAAACTTTTAGTCACCCGATGTGAAACGAAGATTCCTCAGGACTATTTCCCTTTGAGGCAGGAGCTGAACTTCAGTGGCTCTCATTCATACTAAAGAGATACTAAGTACTTACTATGTGCTGAGCTCGGAATTGGATGGTAGAGATTTAATACTGAACAAGAAAGTAGACTCAGCATGTGTGAGGCGCTGAGCTCAAACCTCAGCACTTAAAAAAACAGGTAGAATCTCTGCTTCCATACAGGCTAGTCCACTTGGAGAGACAAACAATTATGGTGAATTATAATAAGAATTATAATAAGTGACAGAGGTTCAGGATACAGTATTAAGGAAGCACAAAGCAAGGAGGTCTACCTTGTCTAATGGTTACACAAACCATGTGGAAATCTGAATGTATATGTCTATTTTCTTCCTTAAATTCTCATTCAAACTCTAAGTTCACATTTCAGAAGGCTGATTGCCGTTCTACAATGCAAAAAATAGATTTTATTTTAATATTTACACTAGTGTCTAATAATTTCCCACTGCCCATAACAGCAACTACTCTTATCATCACAGGTCATTCATAGAATTATAGAATGTTAATAATAGAAAAGACTTTAGAAACAGCATAACCCAGGGCTGGGCACATAATTCAGTGGTGCAGCATTTGCCTAGTACATGCAAGGCCCTGGGTTTGATCCCCAGCACTGAAAACAAACAACCAAAAAGAATGTAATCTATTTCCTTCATGTTACAGTGTTCCCATTATAAATAGTCTCTCCCCTTTGATCTCTTAGAAAACTCAAACATTGCTTTCTTTATTAATTGCCTAGGAAACAATACTTGGGGACATGGAATACCATTCTAGGCCCTCAAGAAGAGACGGCAGGCAGCTGGATGCAAGGACAGAAGCCAGACCAGAACAAAGTAGTCTGAAGTACTAACCAAGTGCATATTCCCTACTGACAGTCTAATACACTAAGCAAGGGCACATTCATAACTGCTCAAATTCCAAATGGGTTTGCGTTTGGGCAGACTGACAGGAAATCATGCTACTAAATTTCTTTCGTGATCTAATGAGCCTCATATGCTTGCCAGAATGATTTTCCCAGAATTGGTTTAGGTCTTCAAATATGTGATTTCAGCAGAGATTGAATGACCAAAGCAATAGAAAAGGTCCTTATTAGTACCTCAGCTTTTGTTTTTGGTGAGACTGGAGATCAAACTCAGGACCCTGCTCTTGCCAGGCAGGCACGGCACCACTGAGCTAAATCTCTGGCCCTAGTACCTAAACTTTTATCTTTACTACTGCTGTGTCACAACGCTTACCTGAAAACTCCCAAAGCAGCTTCCCCCAGGCAGGGTGACATAGCAGACATAGGGGGGGCTGCTGGAAGGAACCATCTCATAGACCACCAGAGCCCCGTTCTTCAAGTCGGCTCCACGAGACTGCTTCATCTGCCAGAATTCCTGCAGTGCCTCCACCACGTTCACTAAAAGAAGAGGAGTAGTTAAGTTCAGCAGTGAGAACAGCTGTGAGTGGCCCTGTATTTCAGTGCGGTCCCTGTAATCTATGCCTACATTAAGAGTCCTGTAGCTTCTTACCTATCGCTATTTAAAAACACTTAAATTAACCCACCCAGATTGACCCTAAATTAATTGTGTAGGAAGACCAGAGTACCCATGCCCTCCTCCTCCGTTACTAGTTTACATTTTGATTAGTCCTAGACACCGAAGAAGAATTTAAATATCGGTGACACAGTTTCCAAGGTCAGCAGATCATTCTCACTGCCTAATGAAGCAGATTATTCCGCAGCTGGTCGGCTGGCCTAGGACAATAATCCATCACAGTAAGTGCCAACATTTATTGAACACGTACTGTTTTCAAGCATTTCCTAAGCGTTTTACTCATTTGAAAATAAACTTTGCCAGGTGTGGTGGCTCATGCCTATAATCCCAGCCCTCGGGAGGCTGAGGCAGGAGGATCGCTGTGAGTTTGAGGCCAGCCTGGGCGACACAATGAGTTCGAGGGCAGCCTGAACTACATAGCGCGACCCTGTCTTAAAAAACTAAAAAAAGGAAGGGCTGGGGATTTAGCTCAGTGGTTTTGCCGCCTGCTGCGCAAGTGCAAGGACCCAAGTTTGATCCACGGTACCAAAAAAAAACTAAAAAAAGGAGAAAAGAAACATAATGCAGGTACTTTTGGTATCCTCATTTTACAGATGAGTGAAATGAGACCAAAAGGGGTTAAATAATTTGGCCAAGGCTATAGAAAATAGCAGAATAAGTATCAAACTCACATGGTCTTAGTTCCATAGGCAACATTCTTAAACCATAGGCAATACTGCTGCTTAAGGAATACTGGCACTATTACAGCACTTTTAGCCTTCCTAAAACTTATGTTTCTAGGGAGCAAACCAATGGCCAGATTCCCTTTCCAGTCTGGAATACTATGGGTATAATGATTTTGTGTGTGTGTGTGTGTGTGTGTGTGTGTGTGTGTAGGGGCAGAATTGACACTGTACCTGGGTATAAAGAATTTGGGGAGGAACTGTATGCTGGGGAGGACTCCTCCACAGGTCTCTCCTGTTCCTTCATACCTTCCTGGGTATGGGAAGATTGCAAAGCCTGACTGTTCTTTACTTGGCCCATTTGTCAGGACTGTCTTTACTGCAAGAAGTCTTGAGGGATGAGATGATGCTTCCTTCTGGGACAAAGGACAAGCCTAATTGCCATCTGCCTCGCAAGCGCAAGGTCCTGAGTTCGATCCCCAGTACCAAAAAGAAAAAAAAGAACAAGCCTGCTTACTGCTTCTTATAAAATGGCTTCTTATAAAATGGCCAGGGATGTAGCTCAGTGGTGCTGCACCTACCTGGAAAGTGCAAGGACTTGAGTTCAATTCCTGGTGGTGGAAAAAAAATGGCAGGTTCCCCATGCTCAGTGCTTCTTACTATGTAACCCATGGCCTGTGCAAGCATCCACTAAGCCCTCTGCATCAGACTTGAGAGGCAAGGGGAACATATGATGCTCATGTTATTTGCTATGCTGTGAGTAATAAGAGTCTTTTATCTCTGACCCAGAAATCTCTTGACTTGTACTAGCATCTATGAAATAGTAACTGGCTAGCTTATTACTTGTAAGTAGAGTAAAATCAAACTCCAGGCCTGACACTATTTTCAAGCATTCCACAAGTTGGTATTGAGTACTGTGCTACACTATGTGTTGGATTCTAGGCTACAAGAGTGAGCAGAAACATGCAGAGCTCCTTTTCTTTATATAGCCTACAGTGTAAAGAGGTAGAAAGATAGTAACAAAATAATAACAAACACTTATGGACATGTACCAACTCCCCACAATGAATGTAATCATTATGTACTGCAAACATGAACTAATAAAAATTAAAATTTAAAAATCAAATGTACTAAAATTTTAACTGTGATAAATGTTATAAAGGAAGAGTAGGTGGCAGGAAATGTAGGAGTATCTGATCTAGGGAAGGTGGTCAAAGAAAGCTACTGAGAGGTGGTGATATCTAAGCTGAGGTATGAGCAGGAATTCAGTAGGCAAGAGATTAGAGAATAGTGCTCTGAGCATAAGGAACAGCATGTACAAAGGCTGTGACAGCAGGGAATATGGTGAATAAAGGAACTAATCGAAGGCCATTGTGGCTACCACAAAAGAAAAAGTGGGGGAAGTAAAATTCGAGATGAGATTGCAAAAGGAGGCAGAGACCAGGCTGAGTAGGGCCTTTTAGGTCATGTTAGAGTACTGGCTTTATGCTAAGACAAGACGGGAAGCAAAACTGAAGATCTGAGACAGAAGAAAGGATAAGATCAGTTTGCTTTTGGAAAGGATCATTCTGACTGTAGGGTTCCACACATTCCAAATGTCTTTAAAGCTTCCTAAGAAATGATCACACATGTTCTCTGATACCTTGCAACATGAACTTTCTCCTACTCTTAATTCCAACATGTTACATTAGTTCAGGTCTGCCAAGAAGACAGCAAGATGGGATAGATGTACAAGAGGTTTCTTAGAGAAGAAATAGCAGTCAGGGAATGCCTCTGATCACAGTGAAGTCTGACACATGTGGAGGAGAGGGGAGGAAGGAGGCTTAGATGAGAGTTGCAGGCTGCAGTATAGTTCCAAAAAGATTTGGTCAAGCCATTGGGAAGTCTTCATTACGAAGGAATTCCACATCTGACTGGGATGTCCATGCATCAGTATCGCCATTGCGCTTGGTCACAGGCTGGTGGTAATTACAGCAAATGTGGCCTCAGTACACAGGGGGTGATGGACCTAGAGGGGCAGCAGCTAAAGGTGTCAGTCAGTTATGTGCCCCAAAGCAGGAGACCTGATCGGTGCATTTTCATTAAGCCAAAAATTGAGCACTTAATCAGTGTGCACCTCTATTCTAGTCATTAGGGATGCAAAGAATAACACACAGTCCCTGTCAGCAAGGTGTTCAAAATCTAGTGGCCAACAAGTTATCTCATCTGCTCTGCAGCTAAAACAAGGAACTCGTATACCAGCCAGAGTTTGAAAAGCAGCATAAGCTCTTTTCTAATGCCCTGTATTTAGCTGACTTTTTAGACTGTTCATTCTTCTGCTGAAAGACAGCATGAAAAGGAAACACTCTTTCCCACCCTTGGTTTTGGCAAGGGCTCTTCAAAGGTCACTACTGCCCAGAAAGCTTAGCCATCTCTGTTCTTTCCATTGAGGTCTTTTCAGCCCGTTCCCTCTCTGAGACAATTTGGCACAATGCCCTGGGTGACAGCTCTCCTGACATGCAAACAACAGGGAGAACAGTGAAATAAAAGAGAAGGGAAGGACAGCACCATAATTGGGAAGGTCCCATTAAAAAGTACATGTCCATTCCATACCCAGTTAAATTCCTCTTGGCACAGAGTATAGGAATATTTTTAATGGTTACTCAAAACCTAAGAAAATGGGGGGGTCTTATTTCAGAAACATGAGCATGAAATGAGAAAACCGGGAAAATGATCAAGAGAAAGGCAGTTAATTGTGATCTGCATTTTAAGATGGTCACAGAGGGGCTTTCAGAGCTGGAAGGAACTTAGATATCTATCATCTAGTCCAGCCTACACTAAAGGAGGGAAGATGACTTGCTCAAGATCACACAGCCATGACAGACTTGGGGGATGAATCTAGATATCCTGAAGCCAGCGTTCTTTCAAATCCAGGAATTTTAATTTAGGGCCCAAGGTCTAATCCATGGTTGGGTTTCATGAGGGTTCACAACCTGCCCCCAAACTGTTAAGTAAAATTATAAGTCTGTATAGGGGCAATGGGTAGTCATAGTTTGTTAAATCAGATTTTCCCAAAGGAACCATGGACATAGTGATTTACATAAAGATAATTAAAGAACATGAGATGGAAGACATACACATTTGACAGATACAATTGCTTTCTGGAAGTCACCGACAGTCTTGTCTGAATGGGACAAGAGAGTGCTGATACCATGATGTTGAATAACAACACAAAAGAGAATACTTTGGTCTTTACCTTTACTATTAGATGAGTATCTAAGTGGAAAGAGAGGTACAGATCATTTATCTAACAGAATGGAAATGGTAAAATAACACATGGAGGCTGGGAGTGTATCTTAGTGGTAAAGCATATATTTAGCATGCAGGCTTGAACACCTGGGTTCAATCCCCAGCACTGAAAAACAAAAACACAAATCAACACATGAAACTACAGAAAAAAATTATAAGAATAACGAAAGAGCTGGGCATGGTGGCCCATGCTTGTAATCCCAGTACTTGGGAGGGTGAGGAAGAGAATCACTGTGAGTTCGAGGCCAGTCTGTGCAACATTGTGAGTTCAAGGCCAGACTGAACTACATACTGAGAGGCCATGTCTCAAATAAAAAAAAAATTTTTTTAAGAGAAAAAAAAGAAATTGAGAGGTGAGTAAAAAGGTTTTCTCTGATCACATAGGTTTGTTAGAATAGGCTGAAGCAGCTTAATTAAAGTTATTATGGAAAACAGGGAAACTGGTTAACAATATTTTACCTGATATGTCAGTTTCTTGAAGGCCCCCATGAAGAGCCTACAGTGGACATTCTTTTTGGAAGAGAAGGATGTGAAGTAACAGTGACTTTAGTAGGGGACCACGGCAAACTGAATCATGACCTCTCCCGAGATGTCCACATCCAATCCTTGGAATTTGTCAGTGTTACGTTATTTGACAAAGACTTTGTGGTTGTGTTTAAATTAAGGAATCTGAGATGGGGAGATTTTCCTAGGTTATCCCTATGGAAGGGAGCTCAGGTTTGATAAAATACAGAGGAAGAGAGGCATGAAGGCAAAGACCTCTACCACGCAGGCAGAGATTGCAGAGATGCCATCAAAGCCAAGCAATGTAAGCAGCAAGGAACAGATTCTCCCCTAGAGTTTCTGGAGGGAGCCCGACCATGCCATACCTTGATTTTTAGCCCAGTGGTACTGGTTTCAGACTTCTGGCCTTCAGAACTGTGGGAGGATAAATTCCTGTTGTTTTAAGATGTCAAATTTTTTGATAATTTGTTACAGTAGCCACAGGAAACTAACATGAGGATTAAGCCAACATTTCTAAAAATTGGAAATATTCAGACCAATCAGATTAACTCCAATCACTTAAAGGAAAAGAATCTGTCTGTGCTTGCAAGGAAAAGGAATAATTAAACAGAAAATATTATTCAAGATTCATTTATTCAACCTAGTGGAGCAGCTGGGCAAAACCTCCAATCACATAGCCATATTGTAATGTAAAAGGAGAGCAAAAATTAAAAAACAGGTTTGAAGAGGGAAGTGTTATCAGTTACAAAGCAAGGAAAGAGAATTGCTCAATTACACCAGTTTCGGGATTGCCAGATAACAAACATGAGAAAGGCCTGAATGCCACATGGGAAAAAGTGGCAAAAGAAATGGCAATTTTAATAGTATCTATTATATGTACAGTTTCCAAACATATAATAGCAACCACTCATTGAGTACTATGAGCTGTGTGCTTTGCATTCATTATCTTATTTAATCCAAACAAAGCTATCAAGAAAGCACTACCTAATTCCCTACCAAATCTATCCATTTTATAAAAAGTAAACAGTTGAGGAACCATGAATCTTCACAGGCTCTGTAAGACAAACTGTGGGCTCCATCAAGATAGGGACTAAATGTCTGCTTTGTTTATCACTGCATCTGGTAATCAATAAATATTTGTTAAATGAATAAATGGAACATATGAGGCACAGGCAGATTCACTAATTTCTCCAAGACCACACAGCCACTTTTGATTAGGTCTGCTGGTTCCAAATCCTATACAGTACAAACTGATTAAGATCCAAAGGCATACGTCTCTTGGGGAGTGGGGAAAGGGAGAGATAAAGGACCAACAGGTGAAAGAATAGAAGTGGTATACTGTTTTCTTTCATTTTGTTTTTTGCAACACAAGTAAAGGTAAATCTAAGTGCTGTACTGGAAAAGGTAAATTTGAAGTAGTCCGGAGGAAGGTGAAGGATATGAATGGAACATTATGTGTAAGGCATTGCTTTATCAGGGAATGATTTGGACAGAGACCAAAGTAAATTATATTCGGGAGAAAAGAGCCATCCCCCAAACACCATGCCATCAGTCATGAGTATATGGGTACATGCCAAAGGCAGCCTTGCCTATTAGTTGAAGCAGAATAAGTGGTTCCATGTGGTGAAGAACTTCTGAGCCAAATCAGCAGAGATTCTGCTTGCCTGAAGCTGGACTATCTGCCAAACTCTCTTACAGTACTGGCTGGACACCCAGACTGGAAATGAGAAACTCAAGAATAATGAGTACTGTGGTGGGAGGTGGGGAGGTTGTAGGAGAGAAACAGCATCTGAAGGCGGACTGATTGCTCTTTGTCAGCACAATCCTTTTGTTCCTTCATCCTTTCTAAGGAAATTAAAGTTTTTTTCCAAAGTACTTAGTTTAGAAGCCAAACCAGAGGCTCTCCAGGTTAACACAGACACCAAAAGAGTATTCCTCTATAACTTTAATAAATGCCTATAAGCTTTCAAGAGAAAGAGTTCAGATTTAGGGTAACCACTCCGAGCTACTACTATGTCCACAGGCAAAGACTTTCCCTCAGTCTTGACTTAAAGATGTCTGAGGCAGATGGGTGGTCCATCAATAGCCTTGTTAAATCTTTGAATTAAACTGGCAAATAACTATATTTGCTCATGATGAATTTCAAAATCATATCCATTTGTATCCTCAGTGCCCTGAAGAGTGCCTCTAAGAGTGTGAAATGAAGAATGAAGGAAAAGCCATGCTTGTAGTGCACACCTGTAATCCAAGCACTCTAGTACCCTGTGAGGCTGAAGCAGAAAGATCACAAGTTCAAGCCCAGCCTAGGCAGCTAAGTGACTTAGCAAGATATTGTCTCAAAAAGAAAAGAAAGAAGAAGAATAAACAATGAAGGGAAACTAATGTAAATTAATCAGTAAGTACACATAGCAAAACGGATCTGTAAATCTGCCTTTATCAGAATCTTCGGATTTACACTATCAGAATTTAAGAGTGGAGAAAATGAGACATGTTCTTCCTAGGGAAATATGAACCAACAAACTGAGATCTTAATAATCATTTAAAAGTACTCATTATATGTCAATTGCAATATCTCAATTAATCCATGTCATAATCCTCAAGGAAGCTGAAGCTCAATGAGACTAAGTCCCTTCCTGGAAGGCAGACTGGGCATGTGACAGAGATCTCTACAGCTTTTCCACTACACTTTCTCAAAAAAAAAAAATATTGTTTATAGAGAAGGCTCTGCAACTTTCTCTGTATTAAACTAAAAAGTTAAAGATATAGTTACTTCTTGATCAAGCAGAACAGAAGTGATGTCTTGGAAATTCCAGACTTCAATTCTAAATTCCACACTCTTTGCTATATATTCCTTGTTACATAAACTATAAATTTGGACTAGAACTCAGACAGGAAATTCTACACTGTTTAACTACACTGTTTAAAACAACAAAAAACCCCTCACATTTCCCTTCCCAGAAATTAGGCATTTTTAAACTGAAGATTTCTAACTGAAATAGGATTTCTACCTGGCTCATTTCCACAGAATTTTAACATTGAGGGAGCCGAGGCCTGGTATTTCACCTCAGTTCCTGGGGAGGGGCCAGGAAAACAGAGCCAGACAGACAGAGAGACTGGAGTTGTGAGCCTCCGTACTAAAAAGACAGCAAAGTAAGATACTGAGTCACAGGAAGTCAGTGTGGGCTCAATGGTATGGGCCCAGTTTTGGTCAGAATTATGAGTGACTTGGGTAGGCACTATCTAATTCCTTACCAAATCTGAAGCTGCACTGAAAATTGTAAAGAAGTAAAGAATTAAAAAGTCAAGATTAAGGAGATGGAGGAACTTAAAAGGGGAGTCTAGGAATTGCTGAGATCAGAAAGGAAAGATTGAGAGGGCATGATGAGAAATGTCCTGAATCCAAGATAATGGCAGGATCGCACACAATAGGGACCAGTTCTCAAAGGTAGCGAGATGCTAAATCATTAAGCTACGTGAATTCCATTTCTGACAGAATAGTTTGAAAGAAAAGCGATTTTTCCTGAAAAAGAAAAAAAAGAAGAAGGATCCCTGGGGAATATATGAATAACTCAATCAAGGGGAGGGATGGGACGTTTAAACGTGTATGAGTGTGTGCGTCTGTGCGTGTGCGCAGCCCAGAAGGAAAACTCCCCAAAAGGAAATGCATGTGAGGGCTGCACGCCAGGAAAAGCGATCGAGCACTCGTGCGAGCCAGGCTCCTTTTCAGAGGGTCTCCGCAGGAGGCCAGACCCTCAGACTCACCTCGGCCGTAGCCCTGCGTGTGCTTGGCGAAGCTCCTGACCACGGCCTCCACCGCCTCGCGCAGCACCGCGGGGCTGCCTGCGGCGCCGGGAGACAGGGACAGCCCCGGGGCCCCCGACAGGAGCAGCGGCGGCGGGGGCGGCGCGGGGGGCGGCGGGGCCGGCGGGGGCCCCGCGGGGGGTGTGGCGGCAGTGGCCGCGGCCCCCGTCACCCCGGGCCGCAGCGCTCGAAGAGTGCCCCTTCCGCCGGTGCCCACCCCGGGCTGCAGCCGTTGTGCTCGCATCGTCTCCATCCCGGCCGCCGGCGGAGTAGGGCCGGGAGCCTGCCAGCCTGGCGAGCTAACGGTCCCAGCCACCCGCGTCAGCCAGCGTCCGGGGACTGAGGGCGGCGCCGGGGCCCAGCCGTCAGTCAAGTGGGGGCGGGGACGAGCGGGCCCGGTGCCAATCCCCAGTGAGAGAGCGGGACGGGGCGGGCTCCCGCTCCCCCATAGGCTAGTTATCGAGGAAGGTGGCGGATCCGAGAACCAATCGCAAAGAGAGAAGGCGATGGCCTCTGTAAGGGACAGCACAGTTTCAGGGCATCTTCGAGAGACCTGTGGCTAGCACTAGAAAGCCGGCCAGGCCCTGGGGCGGGGCTTGAAGAAAAAACGGGCTGGATGCAAGGCTGCAGAGAATTGTAGACAGAGCGATCATTTGTGCAACCACTTTATTTTATGTACGTACATGAGGAAACTGCCTCAGAGAAGTTATGGGACTTGTGTAGGGTCACATGGCAATCAGTGGTAGAGCTAAAGCAAGGAAAGATACTGACATTGGATGAGCATAGACTGTGTAAAATATTTTGGTGCATTGTCTTATTTAATAATCACTATCACTAACCAGGTTTTATTATTTTATGAGTAAGGAAACTGATGCTCAGAGAGTCTAAATTGCCCAAAATTAAATAGCTAGGAGATGACTGTGTGTGTGTGTGTGTGTGTGTGTGTGTGTGGGTGTGGGTGGGTATTCAGATACAGGTGCTCTGATTCCCAATATGTTCATCTTTTCATTATGCCACATTATTGGGTAATTTTCTTTTCTTTTCTTTTCTTTTTTTTCTTTCTTTCTTTCTTTCTTTCTTTTTTTTTTTTTTTTTCGGTACCGGGGATCAAACTTGGGTCCTTGCTCTTGTGTAGCAGGCGGAGAAACCATTGAGCTAAATCCCCGGTCCCTCTGATTTTATCTAAAGAATGGAGAAGAGAATCGATGGCTCCCTTTATTTCATTAAAGTGAGAAAGGGCTAGAATATCAGCATAAAGCCAGCAAACAAAAATCCAGAGCAGATTTTAAAAGGTATCTTTGTTCATAGAACCTGCCAAACTGGGTTCCTCTGATTAACACACACATGGCTACACATGCCTACAGGTTACACATCCTTTGTCAGTTGACTATTAGACTATTTTTTATTTAGGTAAAGTGTTCTTTTTCTTTTGTTTGTTGAGACAGGGTTTCACTATGTGTAGTTCAGGTAGGCCTTGAACCAACTATGTAGCCCAGGCTGGCCTTGAACTCACAGTAATCCTCCTACCTCAGCTTCCTAAATACTGGGATCACAATCATGTGCCACCACAGCCGGGCCTACTTATGTAAAGTTATACTAACTCCTTCCATCTCTCCCACAGCAGCTCAAAAATCAAAGATGGGGTGATAAAGGTGAGGTGAGAAGTAAAAGGAAATGGATAAAATTCACCAGGTGAGATGAAAACTGGACCCTAAAAACTGAGTAGATGGGGCTGGGGATTTAGCTCAGTAGCTCTGACGCCTGCCTCGCAAGTGCAAGGACCCGAGTTCGATCCCCAGTACCAAAAACAAACAAAACTGAGTAGACAAGAAATAGGAAGCTTGAAAGAGGGACAGTTAATCTACTGGGATGGTGGAAGGTGGGACTCTTCAGGAATCTTTAAAAATCTAAAGGGGGAGCATGGTGGTGCACGCTAGGCGCATACCTGTAATCCTAGCACTTGAGAGGCTGAGGCAGGAGGATTGCTGTGAGTTTGAAGCCAGCCTAGGCTACATAGTGACTTCAAGGCCAGCATGAACTGCATAGTGAGACCCTATCTCAAAAAAAAAAAAAAAAAAAGTAAGGGTGGGTACAGGGGAGATTGGAGGAAATTAAACCCTGTCACATGCCTTAAAACCTTCGGAACTCAGGATGTTTGGCTTTTTTTCTCCTACCACAGTTGATCAGTTGGTGTCCTGGAAAGAAGGTACAGTAGCTGTAAAGTCTATCTCCCCAGATCATTGTGGCTATCAGTATAGGGCTCGTTGCCCATTCTTTGTTCCCCATATCCCACACCTCCAGGCAGAAGTGACAAAACAGAGACTTCTGAACACATTTATTTGATATGTCAAGTGGAGAGAGGAGTGGTTTAGGGCTACTCCCCACTTGTACCTGTGGGGGTGTTCATAAGCTCAGACAGACAGAAGAGCAGCTCAGAGCCCATGACCCACCCTCCAGGAAAAGGAGACAACCAGTTGTCGTGTTTGGAGGAACAGAGTGAGAATAAGAAGCAGGAAGGCCAGCAGCAGAACTGAGGGTGGGAGTGCTGCAGGACCCCTGGGGAGAGTGAAGAAGTCCTGAAAAGTGGTTGGGGCTGGACTCAGAGTGGGGAAAAGGACCCAGGCCTGGGGAGAGAAACAAGACCTGCAGAACTGGTGGGATTTTCATGAAGAGGAAGTAGACTGTGCAAAATCATGATAGGCTGTGTTGTATGGCACACAGGGAAAGCCAGGGGTTGCTTCTGCAGGAGGGCGCAGGTACGGGACAGTACTCATAATAAAAGCGAGTGAGTTCGGGACTCCAGCACAAGTTCCGTGAGTTTACTGCTGTGAAGTGCCTGTGGGTACACGAGTGATCCCATATGCATGTTGAACGAGCAGGGCATGAATGCATGTATCTGCATACCCCTCAAACAGTACTATACTTACTTACTCTTCCTCTTTAGCAAGCCTACTGTGCTTGTGGGCACGTTTACCCATGTGCGCGTGCACCGTGCCATGGGCACATGCAAGAGACCCCTGTGTCAGTGACGAGAGTTAAGCTGGTTCTCCTACCTGTCCCATCAAAGTCCTGATCTCCGCCCCCCATTGGCTCCTTCTGTTTCTCTCAGCGCCCTGCTTCCCCTGGCCCGCCTAGACTCTGGAAGCCCCCTAGCAGTCGGATCTGCTCAGTCTGCATGGAGTGGCGTCTCACCAACTTGCGCTTGGTCCTGGGAGAGCCCGGCCCCGCGGCGTGGGGAGGGGCAGGCAGTGAAGGCGCCCGAGCTCCGGGTTGGGGGCGAATGTCAGGGATGGGAGGGTGGGGGCTGATGTTGAGCGGGGGCAGGAAACCCGGCCGCGTTTGCGAGATGTGGTCCAGGAGCAACGTCCCCGAGCCTCTCCGCTCCAGGAGCCCGGGACTCCGCCTCCGTCCACTCAGCGGAGAGACAGCCCCCGGCAGGCTTTCCTGGGACTGGCGCGGGGAGGGAGCCGAGCCGGCTGGAGGGAGGGTCAGCGGGGATGCGCTGTACCGGCGGCGCTCCAGGGACAGGCGGCTGGACTCGGGCGAGTCTGGGCAAAGATGTCCGGGGATGTCCAGCTCCACCGGCTCCATGCGGCTCAGTTTTTGCCTTAGCCCAGAAGGGAGACCCGACTCCTGAGCCTCCGGCGCGGTGTTCCGGCGCGAGAGGGGACCCCCGCCCGTCACTTTCTCCGCCCAGGGGGGCGGATCCTCCGGGCCCTCAGTGCTGTGACGTCGGGAAAGACGAGGTCGACCAGTCAGGGTCAGGCCGTTGAATTCGGCGGTCAAGCGCTCGATTCCCGGTCTCCCTTCTGCAGGAGGGACCGGTTGAGGAGGAGCCACTAGGCCCCAGGGCTCGGAGTTGAGCCTTTTGAGCGGTTTGGGGGGGTGTCGAGGCGGTTTGGGGAGCGGCTCAGGAGGGGCGGGGTCATCAGGGGGCTTAGGAAGAGGGAATTCAAATACGTCCCGTTTCTCCTCTTCTTCCTGGGCGCGAGGGGACAACGATCCCAGTCCTCCTGCATTCTGCAGTTGGATCTCTGAAGGCGACGTGCAGACCCCCGGGCTCAAAGGAGCCGGAGCCGGGTCCTCCACCCCTGGGGATGGTGGGGAATTGAGATACTGACGGGTCTTCTTGGTGCCCGAGGGCGAGGTATCGGTGGTTATGATGATGACCTCCGTGCCCTTGGCCTTGCAGGCATCCAGCAACGTGGCCAGGGTCTCGCGGTCCCCGCGGTCCAGGGCGTGGACGAGCGCCGAGGCGCCTGCGTGATCTCGGACTGAGGGGTCCGCGCCGTGGGCAAGGAGCAGCGAGGCCACTGCGGCGCCCCCACCCCCGGCGCAGGCGTGCATGAGCGCCGTGCGCCCCAGGCGGTCTGCGATGTTGGGGTCCGCACCTTGCTCCAGGAGGTAGCGTACCATGCGCGCCTTGTTCTGGGGGTCGTCGTAGCGGGCGCGACACGCCGCCATTAGCGCAGTCTCCCCCTGGGCATCACCCTCATTCACGTAGGCTCCTCCCTCCAGAAGCAAACGGGCCAAGCGCAGCTTACCCTGACCCACAGCCCGGAGAAGAGCGTGGCCCTCGGTGTGCAGCATAGCTGCGGCTGGGTAGAGAGCACCGATGGAGCCGGGACTGAGACCTGCCGAGGGTGGCTAAGGGTCTGGGAGCAGTGACTGGCAGAGAGCTGAGGTCTCAGAGGTGAAGCCTATCCCTGCGAGAAAGAGAGAGATCTGATTGACGGATTCGGCAGGGAAACTGAGGCAGGAGGCACTCGGCGTGGGGCGAGGGAGCTCTCACCGCACAGTCCTTCCTCTAACTCCCGCCTTTGAGCCGCCCCTTCCCCCCAGCGCATGCCTGAGGAGGTGGGAAGGGTGCACCCGCACTGAAGGACGAGCGCGCGTGCAGATACGCACGTGCACGCGCAGGACTCGCGCCCCCACCCTCACCCCACGGCTTATCAGACCTTTCCAGCATCCCCCTTTTCTTAACCGCACTTGGAATCCCCCTTTCTAGGATGCTGAACACCACCCACCCACACACATGCACCCTACAGTCACACACATATTTCCATTCCTAACCTCTTTTAGGTTGCTACAACCCCCAAAAATTGAGTAGGGGGAAGGAAGCAACTTGCGTTTGGGACCCAAAAAGGGCGAAGGAAGAATTGGGGGTTTCTTTTGCCTCTGTGTGCCCCATCGCTCCCTGCTCGTTCTCCTCCCAGACTGTGCACCCGGATAGGTACCTGGATATCCGCAGAATCTCTGCCTGGCCAGGATTGAGGCCGAAGCCATAGGACAGCCGGGGTGGGGGAGCCGGATTCCTGGGGGTCCACATGGCCGGGGCGGGGGGGGGGCACACGGATTCCCTTGGTGTCAGTATCTGCGCCCGGGCGCCGGATCCTGGTCCCTCCTCCCGGTGCGCCCTGGGCACAGCGCCGGCTCGGGAGGAGAGAAGCTGGGGGGGGGGGGGGCGGAGCTCTGCTGTGCTATTTCTAGCCCAGCCTCTGCGGGTGGGGGCGTCGGGCACCGAACCGCTCCCCACCAAAGCACACAGAAACCCTGAAATACCTACAGGCTCCAATCCTGACTTCCCTTTCTCAGCTGACCTCCCCTCAGTCCCAACAAACCTAAGCGTTCCTTAGGGGACTCCTCAGCAACCCACATAGGGACCATCCAGATTCTTCACTGAGCCTCCGCAGACCTCCATTCTCGGCACTTGGTGTGCGCCAGACCTGACTGCCACACACGGCATATGGCACACTGTGCCCAGGGGTGTAGAGGGGCGATTGGGATTCACATCGGTGTCCACACTGCGAAAGAGGCGGGGGAGCTGGCTGCCTTCTTGTAGTTTGGGCGTTAGGGAAAGCACAGTCCAGCTGGAGTCAGACACAGCAACACATCCCCACCCCACCTTTCCCAGAACAGAGAAACGGGGACCTCAGCTGCCTTATTTAGACCTCAGATAAATGTGGGGAAGGTAGGTATCCTCGGGCATTTTTAGGCAGGCCAAGGGACACTCCCGGGTGTCTCTTTCCCATATGGGGGGCAGGAAAGGGGCAGGGAGGTGAGCGAACCTGTGACACAGCTTCTCCCATTGCCTCTCTTTGCCGTATCTTTAGATTCATTTCTTTATGTTGCTCGGAGGTCCCTGTATGTATCATTCCTATGTCTTCTCTTCCTATTTGTCGTTGTCCTCTCACTGTCTCTGCCTCTCCTTGCCACCTAATCTGTCTCCATGGTTACCATAGCTTCCATCTGCATATTTTAGGAATGAGTGTGTCCAGCTGGAACGCATGAAGGGAAGTGGGGGATGAGGAAAAATCCTTAGGATTTGGAAGGATCACCCATGGTCTTAGATAATTCAGAGGCTGGAGGCCACAGACAACAAGACACTAAAACTAAGGTTCCTGGGGAATGGGGAGAAAGAACTATTGACAGGGAAACTAGCCATTTTTACTAGTCACTGACGCCAACTAGTTTTACTAGTTTACTGACACCAACTATGTGCCAAGTGCTTTACATATATTATCTCCAGTCTTCACAGCACCTCCATAAGGTATGAGCTACTGTCTTCTTGTAACACTTGACATAATAAGGTTAAGCAAAATTTCCAAAGCTTCACAGCTATGTCTTCGTCCTAGTCCACCTGCTGCAATACCTACCTACAGCCTCCCAGTCTAGAGGTCATTTTCTCTGACAGCGGGCATATTCTTGTCGACTAACTCCTAGATTTTATCCTCCCTCTGCACCCCTTCCCTCTGTCTTCGGTGAGAGTAGGACTCCTTCTTCCACCCTGTCCCCCACCACCACCACCACCACACACACACCCAGGGGCTTGGAGGGGCCCCAAAGCAGTAGAAAATGCAGAAAACACTGGGCTCTTGTCTCGCCTCCAATTCTCTTTCTCTGATAATCCTCTTTCCGCCTTTTCACAGACACGGCAGCAACCCACAGAAGAACATTTTTAGAAGTATCCATTGGTGGTACTGGAGAAGACCATGTAGAACTGAAGGGAAGGTTGTTGTAATGGAGGAGAGGGCAAACTGTCAAGCCAGAGTCAGGCTCTTTCTTCTCTTTGAGCCCTTTTGGGGCTCAACAGATCCCTCTCTAAGATCTGAGTGTCAAGTTCTCTCCGCAAGCTCTTGGTAACCCGGAGCTTCTCCAAAAGAGGTGCGCTGGAAATAACGGACCCCTGGTGATCTTCAACCCCATCTGTCTCCGCGCCTCCGCGGTTTCCAGCCTTAGTTCCGGCGAGCTCCCTCCCAGTCTCTTCTGGGCTTTCAAGTGGGCGGACCTCCCTCCTTTGCTTCTCCTAGATTGGCTGGGAGAACCCACCAATAGGGAGCCCCGGGAGGCGGGCCTAGAACGGCGTCCGCTTGAGGAAGAGGAGCAAATTCCAAGTTCGCCTCGGCTTGGGCTCCGTGTGGGGGAGGGGCAGCAGGTAAGGGTCCCACCCAGTGGCTGAGACCTCGCTGGGTCTCACACTTTCCGAACTAGTTCACCTGAGACAGATTGCAGGGTAGACAGCGCTGTCCGGCAGCCTGTTGGATCAGCCCCCTGCTGGCTCCCTATCTTTTCTCCCCTGTTCTCCCACTGCTGTATTGATCAGATTTTCTATCACGCATCAGGGAAGAGATTGAAGTAGAAAAGCAGAAAGGCTCACTCTTGTTTGCTGTGGCATCAGCTTCCCCTCGCTCTATTAACATTATCGCCCTAAGAGCCTGACAAACTCCTGTGATCTATCAAGACTTAGCCGAATATCTCCTACCTGTAGCTTTCCTCGACCTCATTTTTTGCAAAATTCTTACCCTCTCTGATGATGCATTGTTTTGTTTGTTTTTGAGATAAGGTCTCACTATGTAGTCCAGACTGGCCTTGCTGCCACATTCTCCTGCCTCAGGCTGGGATTATTGGCCCCACACTGGGCTTGATGATAGCATTTTATGCATATATGTATTAGAGAATTTAGAGTGAACTATCTCCTTTAATGTTTCCATAATTCTTAGAATATCAGGTTTGTAGGGTAGGTTCTGGTGCCCAATAAGTGTTGATTGAATGGAATTGATTTCTGGCAACTAGCACTCTTGTGGAGGAGGCAGAATTTAAACTCCTAATGTAATTAGAATAATAAAAGACAATACAGTACATATAATTAAGAGCCTTTAAATTAGTGGTTTAAAATATTAGTATTTCCTAATTGCGCCTATAGTCCAGAGAAGGAAGAAAGCAGAGAGCTGGAGGGAAGGCTTTATGAATCATCAAGTCTCAGGTTTGGAAGCCCAGTAGAAATCATGAATTTATTCATTCATTCAATAAATATTTATCAAGTACCTCTCATATGCCAGATACAATGCTACACAATGAGGATCGTAGTGAACCCTTTGCTCTAACTACACATCCTTCTGCTGATCAATCTTATTTAATACATTGTTATTCAGCTTCTGCCTAAACTTCTTTCTTTTTCTTTTTTGGTGATGAGTTTGAACCCAGAACCTCATGCATGCTAAGTGTGAACTCTACCACTGCGCTATATCCCTTACCCCTATGTCGTCATCTTTATGGAAGAACTCACTATCTCTCTTTGCAGGTCTATTTTTGAATATTTATTCTTTAATTGATATCCAACAAATATTTTAAATAAGAAATATGTAGCTTAATGAAATGCATTCTCTACTTCCATTGTAAAAGAGGGAGATAAATTTGTAGCCCCTTCTTTTTCTTTCAGTACTGGGTATTGAGCCCAGGACCTTTGCACTGAGCTATATTCCCCCAGACCTTTTAAATTTTTTTTCAGATTAGGTCTTCCTAAGTTACTTAGTTGTCCAGGCTGGGCTTGAACTTGGGATCTTCCTGCCTCAGTCTCCCAGAGTGCTGGCATTACAGGTGTATGCCACCACCCCCGGTTTATAGCATTCTTAAAAGCATTCCAGCCCTTTTATTCTATGATTATAGCAGTAATAATCACTTATTCCAGAACATTTGGAAACATATAAATATGTAAAGGAAAATGCCTATTATATCATGACCCTGATGTCGTTATAACTGTTATTAATATTTTGAGTCTTTTCCTTTTTTTTTTTTCTTTTTGGTACCAGGGATCAAACTCAGAACCTTGTGCTTGCAAGGCAAATGGCAGCATCACTAAGCTAAATCCCCGGCCCTTTTCCTGTCTTTATTCTGTGTGTACATATATGTATCTCATTCATAAATAGGACTATAAAATTTTATAACATGTTTTCAACTGTTAACATTTTCTATGCAATGAACATTTTTCTGTCTTTAAATATTATTTGAAATCATGACTTTTGTGGCTATATAATAGTCTAAAATAATAAATTAGTTTGTTTTGAGACAGGGTCTCATTATGTAGTTCAGACTGGCCTTGAACTCACTGTATAGCCTAGGTTGGCCTTGAATTCATGGCAATCCTCCTGCCTCAGCCTCCCAAGTGCTGGGTTTATAGGCGTGTGCCATTACACCTGGTTTTGCTTTTTGCTTTTTTTTTTTGGTTTTGTTTTTTAAAATAAGGTCTCCCTACATAGTTCAGTCTGTCCTAGAACTTACCTCCCAAGTGCTAGGATTACAGACTAGACCACCATGCCTGGCTGGTTATCTGATTTTTTAACCATCTATTTACTATCATCATCATCATCATCATCATCATCATCATCATCATCATCATCATTATTATTATTTTGGAGTTTGGAGTTCAGTAACTCGCTATGTGTTTCAGGCTGGTCTTGAACTCTCTATGTAGCCTGGGCTGGCCTCAAACTGGTGGTGATCTTCAACCTCTTGAGTGCTGAGATTAGAGGCCTGTGTCACATGCCTGGCTCGTTCATTTATTATTGAACCATTTAGGTTATTTCATAAATAGCTCTTTGATAAACATCCTAATACTTATATCTCTATCTATACAATGATTTCTTTAGCATAGATTTTAAAAGTAAGATTACCAGATTAAGGATATAAACATGTAACCGGCTACTAAGTGATCAAATTGTGATTGTATTTATAGTCTTTCCAGTGAGGTATGAAATTCCATGTGAAAAAAAAGCACAACATCTTGATTATTATTTATATCTTTGCTGAGCCTATAGGTGTAGAGTGGGGTTTTTTGTTTTTGTTTTGGTTTTTTGAGACAGGGTCTCACTTTGTAGTGCAGGCTGGCCTTGAACTCACTATGTAGTCCAGGCTGGCCTCCAATTCCCAGTGATCCTCCTGCCTCAGCCTCTGGAGTGCTGGATTATAGGTGTGCGCCACGACCCTTGGCTAGATGTAGAGTGGTTTTATTGGCCATTCTTTTGTCAATTTCCTATTCATTTCTTTTGCCCACTTTTTCTACTGGAGTGCCTTTTTTTTTCATTTAGACTTCCAAGAGTTCTAATATAAAAAAGTGTTAACTTCCTACCTTATTACAAATATAGCACCTATAAAAATTAGAGCACTCCTGCCCTTACCCCCTGCATCAACCTCATTAGAGATCTCATCTGGTCTCAAGACATGAAATATTATTTATATGCTGATGACTCAACCAAAAAATATAAACTACTTTTAACCTGATGGTGCAGCAGGGTATTTTTGTCCCTGATGCTCACTGCTATATCACTAGCACCTAGAACAGTGCCTAAAACATAAGAGGTACTCAATAAATATTTGTTGAATGAATTAGATTGTGTTATTATTATTCCCATTTTGCAGATGAGGAAAGACATTTAGAGATAATTTGCCAAAATTTGTGTAGCTAGGAAATGGCAGAACTGTAATTGAGATCCATGTTCTTACCCACTATGGGTACCTTCCTCAAATTTGATGTATATATTGGTGTTTTTCTGTTTGTTTTGTTGAAACTCGCCTCACCGCAGGACACAGGTATGTGGAACTGGGAAAAAGTGCAGTGTACATGAGATATTTGGGGGAAAGCCGAGGGCAAGGGTGAACACTAGAGAAGGTTGCTCTGAAGGAGGTGCAGATTGGGACCAGAGTAGGGGAGGGAGACTTTCAATACCCTCAAGAGTTTAGACTCCATCGCAGTTGGAAATAGCAGAGACTTGCGTAGATTTCTGAGCTGAGAAGAGTCGCTGAATGCCTTATGGTTTTCAACTATTAATTTTTGCCTAGAATAAATGAAATTTTGTCTCTTTCCCCTGAATCCTTACAGTTAACTCACTTCATATGTGGAAATAATTAGGTTTGTCTGATTTCCAAGCTCATGGCCTTGTTTTGTTTTGTTTGAGACAGGGTCTCACTGTGTGGTTCAGGTTGGTGTTGAAGTTGTGGTGATCCTCCTGCTTCAGCCTCCCTAGTATGCCCAGCAAAAAGGACTACTGGTCCCAAAAAGCCAGCCAGGAGTCAACTTGGAGTCTTGGCTCCATAGTTAGAGGTGTTATCCATTGCTCTCCTGGCCCTAAGACTTGTGGCCTTTTCTTAACTCCTCAGGCTCTGCATCCAGCAGCACCCCCTCCACCACATGAGCTCAGTCTATCTAGTGGAAGATACCTGTGCAGCTGGAGAGTTCTTAGGAAAATGTTACTGGAGGCTGAATAACATTTTACATCGTGGAGCTTGCACTGGGAAGGTTTGGATTAGTGACCTCTGAGGGTCCTTCTAATTCTAAGAGTCTGTGTTTCCAAGTAGTGTTCAAAAAGATCAATTTGACTCTATTGCCTTTTGCCCCGTAGTTGACAGTGAGGTTGGTGACTTACTGTCCCCACAGTGTCTGACACACTACCTTTTTCGTGTTAAATGTTTTGCCGAGCTGTACTAGATTGACCTGGACCCTGGTTGAGTTTGAAAGGTCAGGGAGAGAAAGGGAGAGAATTCAAAAGTTACATGTAGAAAGGCACATAGTGCTAAGCATTAAATTGTCTTAGGGACTTAGGCAAGTTTTATCCAGTGTCTAATCACTTTCTCTTTGGTGCTGCAGTTATGTCTCCTGTTGAGACCCTGTCTCATCCATGTTTATGCTTCCAGAAATATCCAAATTCAAAATTTGTTGAATGACATTGGCTTTTCAAGCGTCAGGGAGAGAAGATGGAGTGTCTTGTATCCGATTCTTCTAATGTACTTCTTTTTTTTATTTGTTACCGGGGATAGAACTTGGGACCTTGCACTTGCAAGGCAGGTGCTGGAACCACTGAGCTAAATCCCTGGCCCCTAATGTACTGCTTTTTCTCTTTGTGTATGTCATTATCAGGTTTTGCTCAGTGTGTCTCTGAATATCCTGACCCCCTCCACCATGGCCAACCGGGGTGGGGGCCGGGGTCGTGGCCGGGGCCAGCTGACCTTCAACATGGAAGCAGTGGGCATCGGAAAGGGGGATGCTTTGCCTCCACCCACTCTGCAGCCTTCTCCCCTCTTCCCTGTGAGTACGTCCCCTACCTTCCCGAGACTCCAGTGTGCCCCAGCTGACTGTGAGTGATCCTGGATTCCTCCCGGCCATCCCATCATGCTGCCATCTTCATCCCGCCCCTCCTGTCTCTTTCTTCCCAACCCACACGGGATGTTTCCAGTCTAAAAAAGCATTTACCCTTCCTTCTCACACTCCCAGCTCCCTAGCTTTCCAGACGCTGGTCATCTCCTGCCACCCTCCTCTCTTCTGGCTCTCTGCTCAGGGGAAACTCTGGGTTAAATCAAGGGCAGGCCCTCCTGAGTTCAATCTCCCGGCATTCTCTCCCTGAACTCACCACTGCTTCTTCCTTAGCCCTTGGAGTTCCGCCCAGTGCCTCTGCCCTCAGGAGAAGAAGGGGAATATGTCCTGGCACTGAAGCAGGAGCTACGAGGGGCTATGAGGCAGCTCCCCTATTTCATCCGACCAGCTATCCCCAAGAAAGGTCAGCTGGCGTCATGTTGGGAGCACCTGAACTCAGCACAGCTGAGAGAGGCGCAGAAACGCACTCACTGGGGAGACAGGATTTACTCCTGTATGTGAAATGCATTACAGTATTTGTGATTTATTTTGAGTCTCACGATAGTCTTGGGACAATAGGAGCTCAAGTGTTAAGACCTCGTTGCACATGTATAAATGGGGGAGGTATTAATTTGGGAGGGGGTACTGGGGAGTGAACCCAGGGCCTTCATACTGGGCTACATCCCCAGCACTTTTAATTTTTTGTATTTTGAGACAGGCTCTTGCTAAATTGCCTGGACAGCGTTCAAACTTGCAGTCCTCCTGCCTCAGCCTCCCAGAGTGCTGGGATTACAGGCATATACTATCATACCAGGGTTAAAATTTTTAACAAAACTTAACATGTCCCAGCCAATCAGAAAAGCACTGGTGCTGGATCTCTGAGCACCCTACCTACATAAAATATTAACCCTTTGCTTTGTGGGTCAGAGGGAGCTCTGGGAGGCCAGGAGGGACTAGATGAGGGAGACTTGAGACAGAGGGAATTTACCAACTGATGTGGAAGGACAGCGGCAATTTAGTATAGCGCGACAACTGGAGCTTTTCCGCTGAAGTTCTGGAAGCCTGAGGCTTACTAAATGAATCCCATTATGGAGGGATAGAGAGAAGACTGAAAGCCTGGTCTCTTATTCCCTACAACTTGCCTGTGCACCTCCTATCTTTTTTTTTTTTTTTTTCCAGTTACTGGGGATTGAACCCAGGGCCTTCATGCTGAGCTACCTTTCCCAGCCCTTTTTCATTTTTTATTCTGAGACAGGGTCTTTTTAAATGGGCAGATTGTCCAGGCTGGGTTCGAACTTGTGATCTTCCTGCATCAGCCTCCCCGAGTGCTCGGATTACAGGCACAGGTCACCATTCTATCTCTTGATATAGCATAATCATCCTAATTTGGGGAAGCAAAAGGGCAGGTTAGAAGAGTGATAAGTTCACTGAAGCCGACCCCCAGGGCTCTGTGTTTCTGGTGAGGGGACAAATAATTCCTTGGTATCGAAAAGGGTAGACACTCAGAAACAGCCCTGCTCCAGGGATCTGGATGGGTAAAACTTTCACTCTTGACCTCTGACCCCTCAGATGTGGAGCGTTACTCAGACAAATATCAGACGTCTGGGCCAATTGACAGTGCCATTGACTGGAACCCGGGTAGGTGATGCGCCCTTCTTTCAAATGCTTGTGATGCCACTTCCTCCCAGATGTCCCATGCCCTCTCTCCCATGAAACTTCTGCAAATCAGAACCTCAGATGTGCTCCAAAAACTCTCAGATTCCACCTGAAAAATCTTACTGATCAGCCCCCGCTCTCCAGAAGCATGAGAAACGTGGACCCAGCCCCTTCCTTTCCCTCCTTTAAGACCCTTTTCACCAGTCATCATCAAAAACCCCGAAAGGGTCTTACTGACATTGTCATTCTTCCCAGATTGGCGCCGTTTACCCCGGGAGCTAAAGATTCGAGTGCGGAAGCTACAGAAGGAGCGTAAGTGTATTGGGGAAGAGGAAGAAGAAAAGCATCTTCCAGCAGCTCAACCCCTCTCCTCTCAGTTCCTACCCAGTCCTAGAGTTATTGCTGGATGCCGCGATGGCCACATGAGGGCAGCAAAGTGGCTTGTTTGTTTGTCGGAAGCTGGAGTAGAAAGCTGGAGAGGAAACTAAGGCCCTGATGGTTTACCTTTTGATCCCCCCTCACCAGGGACCACCATTCTACTCCCCAAGAGGCCCCCTAAGGCCACAGAAGATAAGGAGGAAACAATACAAAAACTAGAGGTGAGCAGGAAGTGCCCTATACACAAAGCGCTCCTGGGCCCCAGACTCTTTCCCTGTGCCTTGGGCCATGTATGCCTCAGTTTTCCCTTTCTGTGAGCTGAGTTGGAGTTTCTCTTTGTATCCATCTTCACTTAAGACCCTGGAGAAGAAGGAAGAGGAAGTGACTTCAGAGGAAGAGGAGGAGAAAGAAGAAGAAGAAGAAAAAGAAGAAGAGGAGGAGGAGGAGTATGATGAAGAAGAACATGAAGAGGTTGGGGACCTTCTGCCCAGGTCTCCCCTCCCTGCCTCTCATAAACTCTGGGTTCTCTGCTCTTTACACCAGAGATCTTCTCAAAGGGTCACTGGGCCAAAGGGGGTAAAAGCTGCCTAAGAGCAGGGGCTTCCCTACCTCATGTGTCCCAGGCGCTTCTCAAAAATGAACGATAGCTGGAAGGGATGTCCCAGGCCTGGAATGATATGACTGGAAGGGAAGAAGGAGAATGCTGGAAGCATACACAACCGTTTTCTTTCTTTTTTGCATTTCAGGAAACGGACTACATCATGTCATATTTTGACAATGGAGAGGACTTTGGAGGTGACAGTGATGATAATATGGATGAGGCTATATACTGAAGAAAAACCCTCAATAACACATTTCTCTTTATTGGGGATGTAGAGAATAACTATTACTTAGTTTTATGAACAAAGAAAACATCATTTGGACAGAGTCCAGATGCCCTCCCTGGTCCCTGAAGATAGGAATGGAGAATGATGACACATAGCATTCTTTCCTCCTCTCCCCTCCTTCCCCTTGTATCACCTCTCATATCGTGGGGAAACGGTCATTGTCTTAATCCTGCAAGGGGAGAAAGGAGCATTGAAAGCATAACTGGCTTGTTAGGGCTGAGACAGTTACACACATTCCTTCCCAACTTTTACAGCTTTTTGTGTATGTAATTGGGGGTGGGAGTAGTTAGAAGGAGTAAGACTGGTTTTATTTTTTTCTCTTCTTAAAATTAGTATATGTTTGTGATACATCATAAATGAATTCATTGTGGGGTAGTTATATATTTTTAAAATAAAGTGTTTTTATCTGTCTCTGTGTCTAGGGTGAATTCTGGAGGGAGAGGGCTGCAGGAGGAGCTGAGGGGGATGCCCAGCTGAGTCATTGTCTACCTGTCAGAGTCCAGAGTAATACACAGGGGGTTATAGCCTTCCTGTCCTTTGTCCCTCCCCTCTCTCCCTCATGGTGGGCCACATACTCAAAATATAGCCCTGCAAGGGGATATTCAGGAATGCACCTGCAGGGCCCTTTGAAGTGAGCTGGAGAGAACAGCCCATGCCGCCTGCAGACCAGCTGGCTTCGGAGCCTTTGGTCCTCAGGCCCCAGCGACATGATCACTTCTGTGTTGTGTGTTCACAAGGACACAGGCCCTCCCTTTCCCACGCTTGACCTTGACTGTGTTCTTATTTACACAGAATGATTACAGCTATTTTTGTGGGGAGAGTCAAGAAAGCCAGGTGCAGGGAGGGAGGAGGGGGCTGACTCTTACTCGGCTGACTCAGTTGTCTTCCGGGCCCTGCACACCCCACTGGAAGGTAAGTTTACACGGAGGGATCTCCCTAAATATTCTGTGCTCTACGTGCACAAGCCAGCGTGTAGCTGAGTTGCAGGTTCTCTTTTGGTTTTTCCCTCTGGAATTTAGCCATTCTCACTCCCTTCTTTGGGGGAAGGGAGCAGGTGGTTTTACTTTACAGGAAGTAAGGAAGGGAGTGACTTAGGGACACTCAGGGTTCTGAGAGATGCTTTCTCACCCACACAGCTCTTCTTGAGTGAGGTCACTTCCCTAGGCTCTGATTGGCTTCTGAGGAACCCTTAGATGAGCTGATTGGTTCCAGCCACAGGGCATGCAACAGTCATGGACAAGCTGCGTGTCCAGAATGAGAACTGAATAAGGAAGCGTGAATAGCTATCTGGGATGCTACCACAGTGGCCCTGTTGAGCACTTGAAAGTCATAAAATGGGATGTAGGAGAACCTTCAAGAAATTTCCCAACTCCATTTAGGCAGGCCAATTGAATTCCCTACAGTATCAACTGATAAAGACTGCTAATCTAAGGCCAGGTATTTCTGACCTTATGGTAAAGAATGAAGTGGACCTGCAACTCCATTGGGAGAAAGAGCTTTAAAAGACTAGTTTAAAAGTGGTGGTGAGTGTTGAGATAGAAACAGCCAAGAAAAGACACAGAGAACAGGAATAGAAAGAGAACATTCCAGGGTTATTGAGCAATTTGTGATGATTGATGTGTTTCCTTTTCTAACTTTGAAGTATTTCGTGTGAGTGGAGGAGGGTAGAGGAGCCAGGGCACTCATCTTAGGGGTTTCCCATAGTTATGCCTCACCTGTTACGTTACCTCATAACATAGTTATGCTCTGCTAGGGAGAGATCAGCAAAAGCGAAAGTAAAAGACACTGGAAAATTTTCCCTTTGTTTTTCTCCCCTACACACACAGACACACACACACACACACAAGCCAATTTTAACCTGATCAATTATATATGTTGAAGGCACAGTCTGGGAACTTAAAAGAGCAGGAGCAAAGATTCAGGACAAAAAGGAGGAGCAGAACAACACCCCCATCCTCCCTTACGTGTACATACCCTTTTTCCATGAAAGGGGAGCAAGTAGGACAAAGGTTGGCATGACACTTGGGATCAGTTGTACTACCGCAAAGACAAAATGTCAGAAAGATCCAACTATTCTTGGACTCTGCCCTGTCTGGCTTCCTGCCCCTCCTGGCAAGTGACTTTTCTGGACAAAGCCAGAAACACGAGACCCAGCAGCTTTCCCAGATTCCAGAGCCCACGCAGGCATGAGCTAAACCATTAACCTTTCACCGACTTACCAGAAATTCGGCTGAGCATGCTGAAGCCAGAGCCCAAGGCTCAGTAGACAGAGTCAGGGCTGTTGTTCCCTCTGAGGACCACCAGGGGTTGAGAGGTCGGGGTTGGGGCCCTGCTAACAGATGACAGAAGCCCCACGCTGCGCTCGTCAGTCCTGTAATATGCCTGCCCGGGCTTGTTTGTGTTGAACAGATTGTTCCCATGTCCACAGTCTGGGCTGCCCTGGCCCCGGGAAGGGTGAGTTCTAGGACAAGAATCCTGTCCTTCTACACGCATGTTCTATGCCTGGCCTTCTATCCTGTCCCATTTGGCCAGGCAGCTTGGGCGTACGGTCTGCAAACAGGCATAGGGACGCAAATGGTTGGAGAAAGGCCTGAACGGGAGATTTGGAAGCAATGTACAGTTTAGGTTTGGAGTGAAGACCAAAGAGAATTAGAGAGGCAGAGGTCAGATAGGTGGGATGAAGGGGGACCTGTGGTTTGGGAAGGAAAAGACAGATAATTTCTTAGACTCATTTTTATTGCTGTTTGAACTTTGAAAGGAAGGCCTGGTGGCCGGTAAGCACTGGCTGGTTCAGAACTAAATCCAGGAAAAGGACTGTCATCTCAACTAAGCAAAGCACCCTTTCTTTGTGCTAGTCTCACCACTCCAGAGTCTCGTGCCCTTACGAAAGCTGTATCAAGTCTGCATGCCTCAGTTTCCTCATGCCTGATACACGCATTTGGACTAAACGTCCACTAGCAACCCTTGCAGCACTCACACAGTAGGGCTGATGTGGATGCATCTGCCGGAGTCCAGATGGTTTTGAGGACAAAGGCAGGATGTGTCCAGTTTGTGCTGAACTCATTCCATCTGCGGGATTTTCCCACCTTATTTTCAGCCCAGGCAAGCTAAAGATACCTCAGGCATCTAGCCAGTCGTTTCCAAGAACATGTTCAGCCAGAGTAGCAATGAGATCAACAATTCTATAAACTAGTAAGAAAGGAGAAGACCCCTAGGGCTGAGTTCAGAGTCACAGCCTGTAACCCAAGTAGGTCACCAGACATTTCTGCCTGAGGAAGGGGCCGCTTGTTCCTCTCCATCTCTCCTCCAGTTTGTCTGGCTGGAGGACAGAGAAGATAAGTGAGCCAGACAAGAATAGTTCGGGTGATCTGGCTAGACCAGTGGTGACCTCTTCTCCACTAAACTTTCCCCTACTGAGGTCCCCCAAGATCATCTGGGATCACAAATGTGGAAATAAGGAATTCCTGTTTCCTGCTGTCACCTCGGAAAGGCCTTTGGCTTAACCAATAAGCCTTAATTTGCCTCTTTGTAACCTGGAGGGAAAGGAGGTTCCCTAAATGGAAATGAGTTGAAGGACACTGATCCAACCCCACAGCAGGACCTAAAAGGTGAAGTCTATCATCTTGGGAATCTGAGAAGTTGGTGGATGAACCCAGAGATTTCTCAGAACTGATCCTGGGGTCTGGGACTAGGGTATTATCCATTACCAAACCTCCTCTCCTCTCAGGGTCCTCAGCTGTGGGACATGTTCCCCAGGACTGAATCCCCTGCCCCTCCCTGAATAGTCCCCATTCTGTGACCCTGTTTCTCTTGGTGCACAGTAGAGAAGGGGGAAATCTCCACAGCCCGTCTCTAACACTCTATCACACTCAGAACAGCATGGATAGTACTAGACTAGGAGGAGGTTACTTAGATCTGTCTTTGTTTTACCCTAACAGGTGTGGAGAGGGGAAGCCCAACTAAGTTGGGAATACAGATTCAAGGTCTTTCTTATCTGAGAGAGAACAGGTGAAGTCCCATTTGCACAGGAAAAGAGACCCCAGTACTTATCCTCCTTTTGCTCTGCTCTGGCTAAAGATGTAGCCATTTTGGAGAGAAAACACCCTCTTCTAAACTAAAGAGTTTTCCTTCATTTTCCTCAAACACAATGGTAAGAGGAAGTGAAACAAAGACAGTGCCTGGGGGAGAAAGAGCAAATGCTGACCAGCCCTTTTCTAAGTACTCCATTTCCTTTCCCCACACCTCCCTCCTGGGCCTAGACAACCATATGGTTCCTGTCCAACCATACTTGGCTGCTCTCGGCCCCTCACCTCTCCCTTACTTGGCCTGGCTCCCCTTTTGGGTCTTGCTTTCCACCCTGAGCCACCACTGTTACACCTGTCCGGAGACATCAGGGATGCTTGCAAACTTCTCAGTAGATGCACAGGGCCAGGCTGGGCTTCAGGACAGTACCAGACTCATTCTGTTCTCTTTCTGGTCCTTTTCCTCTTCTTGACTCTCCATGTCTTTGTCTCTCTGCTTCACGCCTTTATACTGCATGGCTTCAGTCGGGCTACTCATGGGACAAAAAAGTGAGGACAATCAGGAGCCACAGAACACACATGACACATCTTCCTGAATGTCAGTTTTACATTGAAGATTTGGTAGGAGAAGATAAATCATGCTTACACTAAAACCAACACAAGTGCATTATATAGTGTGAATCAAAATTTGCATTTTGAAAACACAGAATAGGCTCATCCAAGAAATGTCTGGCTTGTGACAGGCTACTTTGGGCTGCTCTGGGAGCCCTGGAGAAAATGGTCACTCTCCCAAACTTAGAGGTCCTGCGAAGAAAATATTTGAGAAGCTCTTCTTAGAGCAGAGGCAACAACCTGGTATCTAAACTCTAGACAGGAAGTCTGCAGGTGTGAAAGCCTGAAGCAGGTGAGCGTAGTGCAACAGGAAGTGGTGAGAACGGGCTGGCCTCAGCCTGCCAGGCCCCTTCAGCTTCCGCAGGTTCATGCTATGAAAGAATGTGGCCCAGTGTTACCCAATGTGATTGCTTTCTAAGAGCAGCCAGAACAGTAGATTCCAGTAAGTTGTTTTTAAATCATTATTTTGTTGTACAGCATGGAGGATCAAACCAAGGGTCCTGTGCATGCTAGGCAAACACTGTATCCCCAACTAATACAGCCCCTGAAATCTGGCTTCCAAATGTCTATAACCAAGTTAAATTTTTAGGAAAAAACTGTACAGGTTTCGAAATGTCAGTAAGCAGGTTCAGCCTACAAGCCTTCTGTTTGCTGCCTCTGGTTTAAGAGTTTCCTCCAGCTGTGCTTCAATTCATCTACCTCAACTAAAATCAAGACTCAGGAAGAGAAGCATGAAGCAGTGTGATCTCCCTTCCCCAGTCCCACCTCCCTCTACCT